TCTGAGCCGGCCAAAAAGGAATAATAAAAATAGCCTTCTGAACTTCACTAATAATTTTCTTTATAATTATCCCCAACAAGGAAAAAGATGGGAAAATATAAGGTCTTAATTCTGACCATGAAAAGTCAAAACATCTCTGAAAGGAGCTTGTTGGTCAAAAGACAGAGAAACAATTATCTACAGATTTGAAAATGAAAACGTGATAAAAACAAAAGAAATATTTCTTCTTTCAATTGCCATTCTGTTGAATCTGTAAAATTTCTAGACATATGATAAGCATCAAAATTTTCTTTCCAGGAATATAATGAGCTGTAATAAAAATGTCCTTTCTTGAACACCAAGCCCAAATAATGAAATATTTGTAGTAAGCCTGTCAACTGACAAAGAGGTTATACCTCCTATTGCATTATAAAAGCTACTGAAAATGTAATTTCTGATTGTATAACAATTAACAAGACTCTTTGTGACTAAAAATTTCTCTCCAAAAGAAAAATATAGCCAACAATTCTAAGTAATCTATATGAAATGAGCCTACGTTCCGAGAAGCTCCATCTACCAACAGAAAATTTTTCTTCAAATTTGGATCCCAAATCCTTCTGATGAGGCATCTCAGGTCCAATCCAAAAACTTATTTGGATGGGTCTTATCAATTTTCAATTTCTGATTTTAAAATTGTTAAAATTTCACCTATTGATGAAAATAATCACTGTAACAACTATTCAGTGCTTCAACATTATTTCTCGCCATGTTTCTGCAATGTAACATTCCCACAGATACCGCATTAAAAGCATGCGCAACAAGACCAATATATGATGCAAAGCATCTATAATACAGTTACACAATTCTATTTAAGAAGAACTTCCCAAGGGAGATAATTTTACTATTTTCTCATCTGTCAGAAAAAACTTAAATAACTCAGTATCAATAATGAGACAAAGGAAAACAATGTGTTTCCAAGGAATGAGGACCGACTTCTTAAAATTTATTCTGAAGCACAGTTTATCAAGCTTTTGCACCATTTTTTCTGTATTCACAGTACAACTATCTAGATTCTGATCCATAATAATAGAATCATCAATGTAACTTTATCATGTATATACTTCAAGTGACATTTTTTCATAAAAATGTATAGACAGGTTTAAAAGCCTTAGTAAAAACTCTTTATGCAGAAACCAATCCAAAAAACAAAGAACATAAATATCATATAATGTCCTTTCCACATGAATCAGGAATTTTTGATATAATCATCATTGATATTAAAATATGCATCTGTGAGATCTATGGATGTTAGCTATATATATATAGATAATCATCCCTATAAATTACATCTAAACAAATGATAAATGGTCCTGCTTAAAATGCTGGTTAGCCACAAGCTAAGTTTGTTTGAATTTTTCAAATAGATAACAGGCCTTGAAGACCCATCTTTCTTAGGAACTAAGAAAATATAGGAAATAAACTGATTTCCCAATGATTCAACCTCTTAAATAGCTGCCTTAGCTATCAATTTTTAGACTTCTGAAATTATTTCATCCTTATGTAAAGTGAAATGTATTTTATTCAAAAATGATGAACCTTGTGGCACAACATTAAAAATAATTTTATAACCATTTCTTATTAAATCGAATATCAATAGATCATAAGTAATATTTTCAAATTCATAATATTTAAGTTATCTACTGTATATAGGAACTGGTTGAGAATTGTGACCTCTTTGAGATTCTCTGTTCCCTGTTAGGAAACCTCTCCCTCTCAATGAAGGGAATTGCCATACGCCCTGTTGACCGACAGAACCTCTGCAGTTAAAAGACTGATATTGCCTTTCCCATAACTGCTGGGAGTAAAATAATTGCTAGACCTGGAACCTCTTCCAAGGAATCTAGGATTTGCTTAAGAATCTTTGTATAATCACCAAGTTTGCTTCATGCAATCATAAATAAAAATGTGATAAATCAACTATCACATCAGAATTACAAATTGGTTTTATCATGTATTATCAAGATCTAATGGCTCATTCTTACAACAAATATTAGCCAACTCAACAATAGGGGTGATGGTCAACCCCTTAATAAAGTATCTCTGGGTTTCCTACATCTTTGAAACCACAGAGTGGGCCTGTCTAGACAGTGCCATTTAGATCTATTTATTTATCCTAGGCACACTAGGATTCTCACAGTTCTCAGGAAGATATTATTACTCCTCTATCAACTTGATATTTTCCTGATTTGATATTTACTGACATGGTAGTCATTAACAGTCACAGAAAGTCCAGAAGAAAATTCAGACCCAGTTTTCTGCCTTTATAAACAATTTTGGGATTTCCCAAGCAAAATCATGATTAAACTGTTCAACAAACAGGCTGAGATACTGGACCATTAATCTCACCAAGAGAAGCCTTAAAGGCTTCTGAAAACCCTAATGCAGGATCAAACGAAGTATCAAATTCAGCTCTGGCTGAACTATCATCAGACATGGCACAAACTCCAAAAGGAGGCCCGTACATGCACTGTATCATTACAGTAGTTCAGATCAAAATCTAGAACTTAATCTTCATTAAAGTAAGCCTCTAATGGCAAAAATGGAATAAAGCAGCAGGGTTCTCTACAACCTCTGCTTGAGTGGAAGGCAGAGAAACTGTCTCAAACCTCATGGTTCATACAGGCTCTTTACTACATTTAATAATAATGAGTCAATGTATCAATCTACATGCCTATTATAAATCTCAAGTGTGCTATCTCCTCTTGAGAAATATTCACAAATCTAGGATATTTTGAAGCTATACCAGTAGCACTAGATTTTAAAACTTCCTTTTGACAGGTTTTGTTGCTTTGTCACTTGTCATTCATTTCCAATTGCAATGCCTTTTATGATTTTTTATAAAACTACTAGGTTCTATAACTGTTTAAGAAGAGGATTTATTCAAAATACCTCTAGTTTTCCTATTAAATTTATCATCTTTAATTTCTAAAACAACCCAGAGGTGATGAAAATCAAAGCCATCACCCTCATTAGTGTTAACATCATTCTAAACATCTTGCTAAAGCAATACATCTGCATTATCAAATTCAGCCATTGTAATAAAATAATGTGTACCTGTACAGGTAAAACACGTGCTAATTCTGAAGAGTACTCACGACCTTCAGGTAAAAAGAAATACTTTTAAATATCTACCTGTTTAACAAACAGGAGTTAATGAATTAAGTAACACATGTGCCTTACATCGTAGGCAAAAACTTAATGAATATAAAAAATTGTCATACATCGTAGACAATAAAATTTTTAATTCATTTCCATCAACACTTGTCATACATCGTAGACAAGAAATTTTTAATTCATTTCCATCAACACTTGTCATACATCGTAGACAATAGAGAAAATATTATGTCTAATTAACATATTAACATTAGCACTTGTCGTACATCGTAGACAAGTTAAATGTAATTGAAGTAACTTTCCCCTAAATCTAAGATAAAAAATAAAATAACTAAACAGAATTCAAGTGAAGTGTTGTGTTCACTTCACACCCTCTAGAAAAATAATGACAAGTTATTATGGAACAGGTGCTTATATACTAGGGTCAAGGTCACTGGCCATCTATGGTCTGGTGGTTATAGTTTGTTTCTTTAAACAGAGATATTACATGTAAGCTTCACCCCTCATAGAGAAGTTAAGCTAATTCATTACTTGAGACCGAAGGCGAAATATGAATAAGAACTTGCATTTTCGAGGACATTTGATTTCGTGGTTTTGCCAATCTTTGCATACAAAGCCTATAGAAAAATTGTAATTCATTGAACATTTGTACCCACGAAACCAACGAAAAATTGGTATTCAACGAATAATAATGTAATTTAAGAAAATTTGCAAGGAGGAAATGTATTGCAGGAAATTTTCACAGATTACAGAGCTTAGAATGAAATAGAGACTGATTGTCTAATTTTTTGTTTCTGCATGCTCAATTTGCTCAATTTGCTTTGGTGCTAAAACAATGACAAGAATCATGGCTTCAGTGGTACATAGTCGCCTATGGTTGTTTGTTCATACTCATATTTTCCTCTTTTTTGGATCATTCTAGATGATGTATGGATGACTTAATATAGAACCATTATGTCATAAATCAATTATGATATCAAATGATTAAAGAGTTGTCAGTATCCTTTATCGACTCAGATTAACCAGCATTCAAATTATTTGTTTATTACTACTAACTTGTTACAAAGCATTTTATTTTAAGGTTGTTTGGTTAAATGGGGTTTATACCCCTTTCCAGAAACTCTTTTTCTTTAAAATTGTAATTTCAAGTTGGTTATCTCCCTTTGCAGGAAGTAGAACTGCTTTGCTACAATGAAGAGTCAATAATTAGCAGTTTTAATCCCTGTTGATTTAAAGATAATGCTTGGTTTATATAGATATAAAAATTATCAGTGATAATAAGTTTACGTCATACTTGTAATTAAACTCAATTATAAACCTGGTATTGTTTGTAAACTTAAGTTACACATTGTTTTCTATTTTACTTCTCACCTTTGCTCTGCACAGCAGGAAACTAGTATTTATACCAGTAGACTTCCCAACAAAAGCAATAATTTGTATTTAATTGTAATTTTAAGATCAGAATAGGGCTTTCAGAAGTGAGTTTCTAGATAGTCCTATAGACTCTATCATTTGTACAATCTATGGTTGAATGGGGTTTATAGGCTATCAATTTACATCTATGGCAATCAGGAACAATACTCCCCAGAATGGTATAATTGTCTAATTAAACTGAAACAAACTAAGACTTTTTATTAACACAGACCTATTTCACATAGTATTCCATGACTTCATAAATTAAATCACACCCTCATATAAGTATAGATATATATCATAATTTATAGTGAATAACTATCAAATTCTCCAAAAAAGTAGACTCTATTGTTAATAGATTTCTTAGAATCTCATGCTTTTGAGGAAATATCTTTGTCAGAATGTTAACTTATATATATTTTTTCTACTTTCAGACCTTTTTTGAATGCAGGGAAGAGAGAAATGTTGGCCGACTATGCACTTCCAGTAGCTGTATTAGCTATGTCATTTTTTGGTTCCTTTGTCTTCAAAGATATAAAATGTAATTATATGTATTCACTTAAAATGCTGTTGGTCAAATCTTTTTAAGATATTGCTCCTTCCAAATACACACTTTTTATTACAGTATTAAGTGTAGAGTCTCTCAATGCTTGTTGATTTTCAATTCTCCATTCCGTCTTCATTGTCGACATTAAGGTTCAGTCTGATCTAAAAGTATATTTAGGCATCAGTAACTTTGTCAAATCTTCATGGAACTTTGACAGAAGCTTCTTTACGATCAAATAACATTATCCAGAGTAAAATTTTTGTAAATATTTTTTTTTATTTTTCCGTTTTTTACTGATAAATGGACTTAGATATACAGTCTATAATTTGAACATGATTCTTACAAGAACTATAGATCCAAGCTATTGAATTCTTTCTTAATGCATTAAATAGATATCTTATGCATCTGTAATTGCAGTTTGTCACTCTTGTAAATAGTGTGTGTTATCAATTTAGTACAGATAATAATTATAACATTATTTCATAATTTCAGTGAAGCCATTTACATATAGAACGAATGTAGAGTTTTTTGTTGTTGCACCTATCCACACCTTACCATGGGGAGCAGTCCTTGGAGCAGCAGGACTGGGTTTCTGTTTATCATTGTTGTTCTTTATGGATCAAAACATATCAAGTGCCTTAGTGAATGCTCCCGCTAATAAGTAAGTTCAATCATCTATTTACCTTTGTTTCATTTTTTCCTTTGAATATCATGTGATTTTTTAAGTATTGGTTTCTGATTTATAAATAGGATAAGCATTATTCATCTTAAAAAAATGCCTTGTTGATATTTTTTTATATTAAAGCTAAGACTTCTTCTTGTCATTTGGCAGAGTTTTTTTACCTCTGAACCCATCACATTATTCCTCTAATCTGATGAAAATCGAGATATTTAAAAAAAATTACAGAAGAATATACATTTTGACAAGGCAAGATAAAAATGAAATTAAAATTTTAGATATTTGACTTAACCATCTCTAAATATTTCAGATTAAAGAAAGGAGCAGCTTATCACTGGGATTTATTTACTGTAGCAATAATCAATGCGTTTCTGTCTATATTTACATTCCCATGGGTACATGCTGCTCTCCCTCACTCACCACTACATGTTAAAGCACTAGCTGATATGGAAGACAGGGTAGACCAAGGCCATGTCCATCAGATGTAAGTTATGTCGGTGATATTATTCCCTCATAAGTAGAAACTGTCTATAAACATGATATTCCCTATCGAAAAAAAAATAAAAATCTTGCTTCTCCAATTTTTATACGACCACAAACAAATTTTTGTGGTCGTATATTGGTATGACGTTGGCGTCGTCGTCCGAAGACACATTAGTTTTCGCACTCTAACTTTAGTTTAAGCGAATGGATCTCAATGAAATTTTACCTTAAGGTTCAATACCACAAAAGGAAGATGGGGATTGATTTTGGGGGTTATGGTACCCACAGTTAAGGAATTTGGGGCCAAAAAGGGGCCAAAAATAAGCATTTTTGTAACTTCCAGACATAACTTGTGTGTAAGTGTATGGATCTCTCTGACATTGTACCACAAGGTTCCATATCACAAAGGGAATGCTGGGATTGATTTGGGGGTAATTGCCTCCAAATTTTAGGAATTAGGGGCCAAAAAGGGGCAAAAAACAAGCATTTTTATACTTTCATGACAATAACTTGTGTGTAAGTGTATGGATCTCTCTGACATTGTATCACAAGGTTCCATATCACAAAGGGAATGCTGGGATTGATTTTGGGGGTAATTGCCTCCAAATTTTAGGAATTAGGGGCCAAAAAGGGGCAAAAAAACAAGCATTTTTCTAGTTTCATGACAATAACTTGTGTGTAAGTGTATGGATCTTTATGAAATTGTACTACAAGATTCCATATCACAAAGGGAAAGCTGGAATTGAGTTTGGGGGTAATTGCCCAAAAAGTTTAGGAATAAGGGGCCAAAAAAGGGCCACAAATAAGCATTTTCTAGTTTCCAGACAATAACTTGTGTTCAAATGTATGGATCTCTCTGAAATTGTACTGCAAGGTACCATACCACAAAGGGAAGACTGGGATTTATTTTGGGGGTAATTCCCTCAAAATTTTAGTAATTAGGGGCCATAAAAGGGCAAAAAAACAAGCATTTTTCTAGTTTCAGGACAACAACTTGTGTGTAATTGTATGGATCTTTATGAAATTGTACTGCAAGGTTCCATATCACAAAGGGAAAGCTGGGTTTGAGTTTCTGGATAATTGCCCTAAACGTTTAGGAATTTGGGGCCAAAAAGGGGCCAAAAAACAAGCATTTTTCTAGTTTCCAGACAATAACTTGTGTTCAAGTGTATGGATCTCTCTGAAATTGTACTGCAAGGTACCATACCACAAAGGGAAAGGTGGGATTGAGTTTGGGGGTGATGAATCATAAGGGGGTTCAAAAAATTGGGGGGGATTTTTTTTTCCTTTTTTTTCTTTAAAATTTTCCATTTTGAATTGGTTATTTCTGATTTATATATAAAAGCAAATAATAATGATATGGTATGAATAGGTAAATTAAGAAATTTTAAGTTCTTAGACCACTTTCATTCTGTGTGAGAAACCTATGCTGTGTCAAATATTTAATTACAATCCAAATTCAGTGCTGTATCAAGCTTGAATGTTGTGTCCATACTTGCCCCAACTGTTCAGAGTTCGACCTCTGCGGTCGTATATAGCTGCGCCCCAGCGGAGCATTTTATTAAAACTTGAAACTAAACAAGATCTTAAATTAACATTTCAAACCAATAGAATAGCATACTTTGGATTCATTATTAATCGTGGGATAACAATTTTCATGGATTCATTATAATTTGTTGGATAACAATTTTCGTGGATTTCATGGTTATAGGTATGTATATACCACAAATTTAAATGTACAACGAAGTAAACATTTTCTATTGATTAGAATGGATACTTTGACACAACCATGAAATTAAATATAAAAGAGAAAAACAATATTCCCTGAATCCATGAAAATAAATGAATCCACAGTATTGTGACCAAAGACAAGTACTCTCATCCCATTTGTTAGCCCTACAAATGTACAATTGATTCATTTATGTATGCTATTAAAGATTGAAATTAAACTTTGAAGAAGATTTGTTGAATAAGATATCTGGGAAAGGGCATCAAAACTACTTGTTTTCTTTTAAATTTTATAATCAATTATGAGGTTTAGATAACAGCTCATCGGTAAATAGGAAATAAACCAAAATTGATTTTATCCACTATTTACTTACTATTAAATCTCATTCATAAACAAATATTGTAAATAGCAGATGAAAGTAACATCTTGAAGAAATTACACACTATTTTATTAGCTATTTATTATTAAAGTAAAATAAAAAAAAAAAAAATAAAAAAAAGGAGACAATTATTTCACTAGTGTATATAATGAAGTTCACTGAAGAGCTTTTTAATTTTAATGTGGGAGGAAAACTTGATAACAAAATATTAATTTATATTACAGAGTAGTGTATGTGAGAGAGACCAGACTGACTGGAATTATTTCCCATATAATGATTGGTCTGTCTTTGTTGTTGTTACCCTATCCAATGAGTTACATTCCACGACCAGTGTTAGACGGACTGTTCCTTTATATTGCCATCACAGCTCTGTTTGGTAATCAGATGTTTGACAGAATTATGCTGTTTTTTACTGAGCAGGTACGTTTTCAAAACAATTTTTACCTCTATGAAAATTCAGACTACTGTATAAAACTATTTTGTAAAAAAAGGTCATTAGAAGTAATCCTCTGTAATTCCCATATTGATAAATTAAAATGTCATTTGTTTCATTTTTTATTTTGTCCTGAATTTGTGTGGAATATTGCCCAAATTTAAAATCACTACGAAGATATCAACTGAAAGAAAATGCAAGTACACTTAAAATTTATTTTTTTCTTTTAGGCAGCCTACCCACCTAACCATTATATACGTCGAGTGCCACAGAGGAAGATCCATTTGTTTACCGTCACACAGATATTACAACTATTCGTCCTCTGTATATTTGGATTCTCACCAATACCCTACATGAAAATGGTATTCCCAATTCTCATTATGTTACTGATGCCTATAAGGTAAGAACAATTTTATCCTCACCAATATCTTATATAAAAATGGTATTCCCAATTCTCATCATGTAACTGATGCCTATAAGGTAAGAACAATGGATTCTAACCAGTACCCTACATGAAAATGGTATTCCCAATTCTCATCATGTTACTGATGCCTATAAGGTAAGAACAAATGAGTTGAAAAAAAAACCAGCAAAATTAATTTTAATTTTTGTGTGGATAAAAAAAATCGTTGATCTTGTATTTTACCTTGGTATTTAAAAGAAAGGGTTTTTTATGTAAAAGGAGTCTTTCCCACAATAACAACAATGTTGCCAAATAAATATAGCATTCCCTGTAAAATGGTTGTAGACACAATAAAAATAAGATGTATGATTTCCAATGAGACAACTCTCCACCAGAGACCACTTGACATAGAAGTAAGCAACCATAGATCACTGTACATCCTTTAACATTGAGCAAACCCATACGGCATAGCAAGCTATAAAAGGCCCCAAAATGACAAATGTAAAACAATTCAAATGAGAAAACTGGCTGTCTGTTTTATGCACAAAACAATAAATGAAAAACAAATATGATGTACAGCAACAAATGACAACTACTGAAAATGTTCAGTTGCAAGATTAGAGGCAAACAGAATATCACAAAGAGCTATAGACACTGTACTGATTTTTGCATCTGATGTTCATCCAACTTGGTAAAGATTCATACTTGTGATCTCTATTTCAAAGTGAATAGCTTAATGTTAAGGTTATAACAGCTATCTTATAAAGGCAATCTTTAATTCTGTAGTGATCATACAAAGTATTGACAACTGCAAATAAGTTTACCAATGGCAGCAAGAAAATATACATTATCAGAGGGTACCAGGGTATCAGAGGGTACCAGGGTATCAGAGGGTACCAGGGTATCAGAGGGTACCAGGGTATCAGAGGGTGCTGTGGATTCATTATTATACTTGGAAACCAATTTTCATTGATATCTTGAGTACAGGCCTAGGTTAACCTCAAATTTAAATGTTCAACAATTAGCACATTTTCTATAGGCTTGAGTGCAGACTTTGGCAAAACCACAAAATCGAATATCCATGAAAATGTAAGTTTTCCTCCATCCACAAAAATTGGTACTCACCAAAATAAATGAATTCACAGTATCAATATTGATGCATGATACAGAGTTACTCAGGGCTCTATTCACTTTCTTTTCTCAGAAATAACTGTCGAGTTATTGTCTTTTTTTCAGGCATAAACTGACACCTAAGTTCATCGAGCCTAAATATCTGAAAGCATTAGATGGACATTGAAAGAACAGAATGTTATTAAAGATGGCAGCCATATATACCAACAGTTCCTGATCAAGATGTGTTGTAGAACTTTGTCAAGAACTTTGTCAATATTATAAATTTTCAATTCTTATTCATTTGATTATAAAAAAAAAGACAAATTCTTATTCTGTTTTTACAGAAGTAGAAAATTTCTTCTTTGACGTTTATGATACAGTAGATTTTTTAACCTACCGTCCTGTATAACTTCAGATTTTAATGTATTAAAAGAATATATAATGCATAGAATAAATAAAAAAAATTTCAGTGTTGAATTGCTGATAAAAGAATTGCAAAAACAAAATCAGTTTATTGTTAATTATAAATAATATTTGATAATGAGAGATCTCTTTTTTCTCATCTAACAATATTGAGATAAATTTACATGTACAAACCTAACATTAATTCAAGCATAAAATTTTAAAAGCCAATACCAGAAATGGTTAATGGACTAAGATTAAGTTTTAGAACCGGTACTTTTGTTTGTTTTAAATTATGCTTAGAAACTTTATACAGTTTTATGTATAATTATCAAATTACTCAACGAAAAAAATAATAATGATTGAACCATCGAATAATATCATGATAAGCAATATTCATGTATAGAAAGGAGGAACAGAGAAATGGTTGTTTGGTGCATGTGAACCAATAATTTTATGAGCTCAAATCGACCATGTTGTTGGTTTCCAAAGAAACATGTTGTTGGTTTCCAAAGAACCATGTTGTTGGTTTCCAAAGAACCATGTTGTTGGTTGGCATATGATGCTACAGTTATGCAAGTGATTTGATATGTGTCAAAATAGTTTTGTTGTAAATAGATACATACAATATTTGTTATTTTATTTTTGTCTCCTATGCTGCTTGATGTGCACTTTCATTACATGACACTAAAGTTATCTGTAAATTTTTCATACATTCTGTACAGTTCATATAATACAACAACATTTCATATGGATATTGAACTACTTCAAAGGAGGAAAGGAAAGTATGGATCATATATTATTTTAAATTCTGACAATTTTGTCAAAATATGGATCCAGAAAACCAAAATCCACTATATGACCTCACAGATGGTGTTTTTCAGTGGTAAAATATAATAAATATTTTGTTCTATATATTGAACTTGGTGATTTCCATGAGTTATGATGATTTATCTTCCCCTCCATTTTGTGAGTGACTTCATTTGTAGTTCATTTTTTTATATATACAACTACCAAGAATACAGTAGTTCAAGATATGAACATAAGTTTTATATCAAAATGAATTAGAAACATAACAATATACGTGTGTCAAAAGTTACAAATGCAGATAACGTGCAGATCTTTATATAAACTTGTTGTTTCTTGGTATTTATCAACTCCATTAAAAAGGAAGTGGAACATTAAGACCTTTACTTGGCCTAATATTTTGTGCATATCAAAAAGTTAGAAAACAAGGTTACAATTTTGTGGATTCAGAAATCAAACAAATTTTCAGCATATCGGAGAAACTGCGACATAAGAATACATTGCATATTTGTTTTTATTATATACTTTGTTATATGTTAATTTTGACATACATTTTGGATTACAAAGTATTATTGTATTTAAAAATCAACACCACATTTGGTAAAAATATGGTAGACAAATAGAGAAAATAATAGTTGAATTTTAAAACATGGTCCAAGACTTGCAGGGCATTAGAGTCTTATCTATGTGTTCTACACTATTCATTTGTTTTCATTAGTTCTGAAAAAAAAAGAAAAAATTATGGCATTACAAAATATAGTGTTCGAATTAACAAACTGACCAGGGTATCACTGTTTATAAACTTATTGACCTGACTGTTTTACAATGGTAACACTTATTAACCAGGATAGTTTTAAAGATACAATGTACTCTGACTGACAAGAGTATTTCTATGGATACATTGACTGACCAGAGTAGTTCTATGGATACATTGACTGACTAGAGTATTTCTATGGATACACTGACTGACCAGAGTAGTTCTATGGATACATTGACTGACCAGAGTAGTTCTATGGATACATTGACTGACCAGAGTAGTTCTATGGATACATTGACTGACCAGAGTAGTTCTATGGATACATTGACTGACCAGAGTAGTTCTATGGATACACTGACTGACCAGAGTAGTTCTATGGATACACTGACTGACCAGAGTAGTTCTATGGATACACTGACTGACCAGAGTAGTTCTATGGATACATTGACTGACCAGAGTAGTTCTATGGATACATTGACTGACCAGAGTAGTTCTATGGATACATTGACTGACCAGAGTAGTTCTATGGATACATTGACTGACCAGAGTAGTTCTATGGATACACTGACTGACCAGAGTAGTTCTATGGATACACTGACTGACCAGAGTATTTCTATGGATACACTGACTGACCAGAGTAGTTCTATGGATACATTGACTGACCAGAGTAGTTCTATGGATACATTGACTGACCAGAGTAGTTCTATGGATACACTGACTGACCAGAGTATTTCTATGGATACACTGACTGACCATGCAGAGTAGTTCTATGGATACACTGACTACTCAGTATATTTTTATTGATACTTAGAATCACTGGAGTATTATTACTGGATACACTATTTCGTTGTTTTTCACCAATTTCAGCACACAAGCCTATATATAATGTGTATTTAGTTGAATATTTAAATTTTTGGTTCACCATATAACTATTTTCAAATAAAATATCATTATGCCGAATTAACTTATATATTGAATGTTATTTGAAGTGTGTTTTGTTTTTCCATTTTGTTCATTCAAACACTTGCCAGTAGTTTCCTTTATTTTCAGTTGTACATTTGTAAATATAGTCTATTGCATATCTTTTGTGTTTTGAAATTTTTGCAAGTCTTTCAAAATATTGTCAAAGAATTTTCAGTTTTAATGAAGATTCCAGTGTTATAGTCTGTGACAGTGACTTTTGATTGTTATGTTTATTTATTATAATATTTCAATTTTCAATTGGATTTTATAATTGTAAATAATGATAAGAGAGTTGATATTAGTCATTTGTTATTTACAACATGCTGCTGTTTGCAGTATTTGTTAATCAAGAATTTGTTACCCAGAAGGCTATTTTTAATAAAATTTATTTTGAAGAAAAAGTATTTGTGTTAGACATAAGTTGAGACTAAAAGATCAATCAGTACACATACAACATCCAATGGATTTAGTATAAAGATGTCATTATGAGTTTATTGGTCTGTAACATCATTCCAAATTGCAAAATATACTTTCATGAATACCAATTTTCTTGGATTTAGGAAAAATTGGTATTCTCATGGAAATTTGATACCATGGTTATGACAAATCTACATGCAAGCCTATAACAAATTTTAAAACCTCTTGAATTGTGGTTCATATATACCCTTAAATCCACAAAAATTAGTAAAAGATTATCAATAATGAATCCATAGTAATTGACCCAAAAACAAATTGGGGACATACAAATCAGGTCAATGTGTGGGAGAAGTGTTAAATGACATGGTCCAAAGATCTAATACACTTACTACTGTGAGCAGAATTATAACTATTTCTAAGAAACTGTCTGACATTATCATGAAAACAAACAAAAATTATTATAAAGTTTTCGATCTGTAAAAAAAACCAATACAAATGCAAGAGGAATGTCGAAAACAATGTGACTTATCACAAATTTTTACTAGCCATGAGCAACATGAGGGTCACTAGTGGGGCAGGATCTGCCTACCCTTGAGCATAGATCACCACCTGATTTTTGATGAGGTTCATGATGCTCAGTCTTTTGTATTGTGTTTTGTAGAGCTGTTTGTCTTTTAGTTGTTTTTGTCTCAATTGCAACAAAATTTGCAGAATGCAAGATAGTGACAGCTATTTGTAAAATGCATTATATTTTAGAAGGGAGAAGACCTTGATGCTTCATACCTTGTAAACAGATGCCTTGTGTTATGAATTCATAGAACACTATAGTTTTTGTTAAATGAATTTTTCATTTTTTATGTTTCTGATTATCTGATACTACAAGCAGCAGGTCATTGGTGTATGGAATGATTGTGTGGTGTATATGTCCTTCTAGCATGGTTCATGTGTCCTTGACCTCATTTTCATGGTTCATTGGTCAATGTTAAGTTTTAGTGGTTGGGTCTGCTTCTCAGATGATGCATGGAATGACTGTAAGGTGGACCATCTGACCTGGACTTGGAAGGTGTACATGTCTGTCTGGTAGGGTTCTGACCTGACCTCATTTCATGGTTCATTGGTCATAAGTTTTCATGGTAAGGAATGTTTCTCATATACTATATTCAGACAACTCTATGCAATGGATACATTTTTGTCGAGCCTGCGACTTTTGTCTCAAAAGCCAGACAGCGATCCTACATTCCATCGGCGGCAGCGTCCACAAATATTCACTCTGTGGTTAAAAGTTTTTCAATCTTCTTACAATCAAAAGATAGTATCTTGAGGAAAATTTTCAATAATTTTTTCCCCATTTTTGTTGAGCCTGCGACTATCAGCAAAAGTAGGCGAGACACTGGGTTCCGCGGAACCCTTTAGAATTTTTATATATCAACAATTGTTCATGTATTACAAAGATACAAAATACAGCAAATATTATTCATGCTATTTTGTGACGGAAGTATCATGGATGATAAACAATGTTCCCTACTAGAGATACCTGTTAAGATCCACTTTGAAGGCTTAAGCGACTTTAAGGTGGCCATTCAGGCTTCACTGAGGCAAATATCATTGTAGTCTTTCACTTCTATTGTACTGAATTGAATTCCACTCTGCCTTACAACATTTACAGTGTGTACTTGATTTACCAGTTGATGCTAAGTAACTGCATTCTTCTGGACACACTGGATGCTTATTTAATAAACTTGACTACTATACACCAAATGTAAAATGCAAAAATAGTAATACTTTAACATATAAATTATGCACAATATTTAAAGTCAATGAACCATGACTGAAGGCACAGGGCCAAATTATCATGGAAATGCCATGGATTTGCCAAAACTAATACAACTGCATACTAAATAATGGTTCCGTGGTTCCCCTTTTACTGACCTTATCATAAACTTTAACTACTATAAGGTTGTTTTAAGTCAATAGACCATGACTGAGAAGGAAGGGTCAAATAATTTCAATGGAAATGGGATGTCAATGCTTATACAACTGCATACTACATATCGTTACATTAACCATAAATGGTTCCTAATCACAAACTTTAACATGTAAACTATGCTAAAGTCAAAATAACATGACTGAGGGGCAGGACCAAATAAACTCCATGGAAATGAGGTGTGCCAATGCTGCTAGATCTGTATACTAAATATCATTTGGTTTACCATGAGTGGTTTCCCTTTAACTAATTGTTACCGTAAGAAACAGCATACCTTAGATTCTGTAAAGGTCCGACAAATTTTATATAACATAAGCAACCAACCTTCAAAGATGGTTAACAAATGACAAAGTAATTTTAAATCAACAAAAACTAACTAGTTGTTGATATTCTATATTATTTTATTTGTTCCAATAATAATATGTACAGTATGATAAAATGAATATCTACAAGTATGTGTGCCATACATTGTAACCAACTTGGTTACAAAGCTATTTAAATAAAACAACTTAAAAAACAGTACTAAAAAATTTCATTTTGTGTTATTTACACTATTTGGCAAAGAAACTTAAAATTGAAAAAAATTTCTAGGATTTTAGAATATTATCATTGTTTCTTAAAATAAATAATAATACAACACAGCACCATCCTATGCACGAACGTATGGTAGTCCAAATTCCCTCTCCAGATATCATATTTCTCCATTAGTTGCATACCATGATTTTTATGAGACAAGGTTCCTTATTTTATAATTTTTTTTGGCCAACAAATACTCTTAGCTTTTAGAGTTTTCCTTAGTGGAAAACATGTCAATGGATGGGTGACAAAAGCTCACATGGCCACTTTTGTAAGAAACTAAATTTGCTCCATAACATTAGTTGTATCAGGTACATGTAGTTTGACAGTGATAAGGCTATTTCTGGTTTATTCAATTTTTAAATCTTGTGAATCTACTTATTATCATCCATACAAATTAATAGTCTGTTAGATCCTTTCATCAAAATCCAGTCATTAAATACTAAGATTCAAATAAGTAAATAAATGAACAATGATAGATAAATGGACATGTTAGATGCTTGAAGTTAGATGATAACATCACAATACAATTTGCAAAATAGTTGTCAAATTTTGCTAAAAAATTAGTAAGTTCAAAAATCTGGAAAAATGAGAAAAAAAAAAAAACTAAATAATTTCATAATTACTGGTGCACCACTTCAACATATATGCAATCTTCCTGTGAGGTTTCAGGGATCTGGGTTGAAAACTGTAGGAGGAGTTGAATACACAAATGAGGTACCAACTTTTCCCTACCCAACTAACATCACCATAACATAAGCTGGTGTTGGACTTCATCCAATCTGGCCAAAAAGAGACGGATAACAGAACTCACAAAAACTTAACATTCAACAAATTTTATTCATAACAAATTACTTTCAAGTATGTACATGTATGTCTCTAACATTTCTTTGCATTAAACATGTTTTGTAATGGAAAATTTGTCTGACATCATTACTGTCAGTCTTTTCAAGACCCTGATAGGTCTCATGATGATATTCTAAGAAATTGCAGTTAAAATAGAATAGCAGTTTACACATTGTAATTATTACCATAAATAATATGTTTCTTCATATTGATATATTGATGACTACTGTTAAAGTAATGATATTAAACGATATGCGCACATTAAAATCAAAACAGAACCTCCCTTGCAAATAATTCCTGGTTTTTCTAAAAACAAGGAAACCTGTATAATATTTCAAAATTAATCAACAATTTTGTGATTTCACAGTTGTAGTTCTTATTTTGGTAAATGTTATCAACGTAAACAGACATAAAGTTATACACATGTGTTGACTGCAACTTATTCAGACTCATGCCATTTACAAATTATTCATGTCAAATGATGTTTGTACAGTTAGGACAATTCACTATGTGAATTTTTCAACTTCCATGCTTATAAAGGATGACATGTAACTGGCCATACTGATGGTAGTATCTGCCTGAGATCTTATTCTTCTGTGACCAATAGAGAGAAGTATCACAAATATAAACTTGCTGCAAACACAATGTCTCTTTTTATCCTCCTAATTCCTGAAAAAAGAACAATAAATGACTTTACTAAACAGTTTTTAATACTTCTAAAATAAATATTTGAACAAATTCTTACCAAATATGACAGGTAACCACATTGGTTTTTCTGACTAGTTATTGCAATGGTGTAACTCACAATAGGCTTAGTCAGGAGGATTTTTGCTACTATAGTATTTATTTTTCAAAAGTAACTTCCAAAATGCATACTGTTTTTTATTTCTTGAATAGGATTTATTTCAGACATTCTTTTTTCTATCAGTTGAATCCAATATCTTCATGTTTTACATTATAGTAAATGAAAAACCAGATTGACACCTAGCAACTAATCAGTTCAATGAAATTTCAAAACCAAGTAAAGACTTTCAACAAATCTTTAAATTTTTTGTTATTACAGCTGTTATCATAATGCTAGCAAGTTAAAGGTTTGGTTGACTTGCTTGCTTTGTTTGTATAAATGTTTGCTCAAGCATTGTAATTAAGATTGACATCTCAAAACAATATAAATAGGCGGAGTTAAACTTGTAAACATTATATTTAAATTTGATTGGACATTATCAAATAATCAAATTAACCTAAATACAGGTAATCCGCCTACTTATATTGTTTGCAGATGTCAATCTTGATTACAATGCTTGAGCAAACATTAATAAAAACAAAGCAAGCAAGGCAAGCAAGCCAATCAAACTCCTACTCTACATGCATTAGGAAATTGACTGTAACGTTCTTTAAAGAGTCTTATAAATTCATTCAGGAGTTACAAATGTGGAGTTTTTTTTTGTGTTGTCAGGACCGAATATCTTTAAGAGTCAATATAATTGTGTATTGCAGTCATTAAATTTAAATTTTGTTTGAATTTTTAAATAATCGTCTAGCTACTTAATTTGACAGATAATTGTCCAGTGTATTGATTGCTTTTCAGTTACCTTTAAAACATTCAGTTTAACAATTTTAATTAGCACAAAGACAACTTGTCTATCAGCTTGGGGCAAGATCTAAAGTAAACATAATTATAATACATGTATTCGGAACAATTATAAGCTGATTAAATTTTACTATTTACTTCATTATTTCACTTTTGATTTAATATTGCTTAAATATGCCACCTCCATCGTCCAAGGCTTTCTCATAATTTAGACGAAATCCCAACTCAAAAACTGGGAAATGCAAATTATGTGAATGTAACACCCAACAGAATTTTCATACTTTGTCAATTCGCCAAGATCAAGAAGATTTTCATCTTCTCAATCTGAAGTTATTACAAACAGTACTGTAGATATGGTAGTATTGAATTATTAAAACAAAAACTTCACCAGGAATTCTAAAAGCCAAGCCTTATAATGGCCAAGAATAAACTTCAATTCATTGTATCATGAAGTCGTGCATTAAACCCCACCACATTCTGTATGTGCCTGTCCCAAGCAAGGAGCCTGTAATTCAGTAGATGTCTTTTGTTGCTGTATATCATATTTGTTTTTCTTACATAAATCAGGACGCTAGTCTTCTCGTTTGAACTGTTTTACATTTTGTCATTACGGGGCCTTTTATAGCTGACTATGCTGTATGGGTTTTGCTCATTGTTGAAGACCCTACAGTGACCTATAGTTGTTAATTTCTGTGTCATTTGGTCTCTGGTGGAGAATTGTCTCATTGGCAATCATACCAAATCTTATTTTTGTATTTTTAGAGTACTGTAGACTAAGATTTTAACAATCAACTTTACTACCGGTGAACCAGTTAATCAGTCGAAAGATTATCCAATGAAAAATTTCTATTTTGTCAGCCATAACAGTAGGTAAAGACATCAAAATACCTTACTTGTAATGTATTATCCAAGCAAAGTTGATCTCAATATTTTTAAAAATAAGTACATTAAGTAGTTTTTTACTTACCTTCAGCAAATTTATTTTCCAGCTCTGTATTACCTATAGCTTTAGAAGCTTGACACATTTGTCGTAAGGTTTCCTCTAATCGTCTCATACAACGGATAATACTACCTAAAACATTAATTAACCTTTTAATTAACAGAAAACTAGATTTGGACAATGCCCCCCCCCCCTTCCCCCTTTTCTGCTCTGCCATATGCATGAGTATAGTTCCACATATTTTAGATTTGACAAACAGTGATGGGCATACAACTTGCAATTGTTACGCTGTCTGTAAGACACAAATGATGCCCCCGCCTGACCAAAAAAATGACTAAGTCCAACAACCTGTCATTTTCAAAATATTTGAAAAAAAAATCAAAATCCTATGGCCACTCACACCTTGTACCAAAATAAAATGACTAAGTCCAACTACCTGTCATTTTCAGAATAATTGATAAAAATCAAAATCCTGTGGCCATGTACACCTTCATTATGTGTATGAACATCCTACAAAATATTAAAGTTGTACCTCCAAAACTGTAAAAGGAGATAGCCGGACAAACAATGTACCCTAATCCTGACGAACGGACAAACAGACAGACGGATGGACAGGGGTAAATCAATAACACAACATTTTGTTGCAGGGGCATAAAAATACCATTCTATTGGGGGTATGAAATTTCTATATATATTTTACTTAGGTTGTATGTCTTATAGATTGTAATCATTTTTTTGTAATTCACTAGTAAATGCAGTAAAATCTTTCTGAATTGAACCCTGCAAAATCTGAAAATCTGTCTAAGAAGTAGTGTTGTATCAAGACTATGAATATTTTTTGGTAATTTAACTTTTGTGAACCAAACATCTGTCTAACCCTTATAAAATTTCAAATCCAAAAGGGATTAGGAAAAGACGGGTTACACTATCAAACAAAATATCTACTGCAAAATAGAAATATTACTTTTTAAATGAAGCTTTCAAGATCTCTATGATTTATATTTGTATGAGACATCATATCAATTTATAATCAGAACATTTTCTAACAAAATTCCATTTTAAAGATGTTCGTTTATTTGCTCCTCATAACTTTTAATGATTATTGAAACAGTAAGCATCAGTTATACACATATGTTCTTAGACTTGCCTTCAAATACTTCAGTCATTTTACAAATCTGTCCAAAGGTACAGCCATTACACCAAGCATTTACAATATCCATCATGTGGGGTCTGAATGATTCTACATATTGTTCCTCATCAACATCAATCTTAGCTTCCCTACTCACACGAGCTATTCTTCTTGCAGTATCCTGTAGAAAAAGCATTCTATTGTGAAGACTATTTTTCTTATTACTTAGAATGTATAGATGTCTAACTGAATGCTTATCAATGAAGAAGGTACATTATTGTTCTTATTTTGCAGAGTAACTTTAATGACAATTCTAAAAAGTCTTGATACCATTGTCACAAACTCTCTAATTCTTAGCAGATTTATACTCTTCCTGACCAGTTGATTACTTTTTATTATCCATGTGTGGTTCATTGGATCTCAGTTGTTCATTGTTCAAAATCTTATTACCTGTATGACGTATGGCCCACTGATTTCGTGATTGTGACATCACGAAAAAGGCAACCATGCCTATTGAGGTCACATAGAAAGAGCACATCTATTGCAGATCATTGAAAAAGAAAGAAAGTTTGCCTACATATCATCTAAAAATCATTAGAGAAACAGATTCCACCACAGAATCTTGTGTAGTACATTATTTCTCCACTCTCAAGAGTTAAATCTTTAATATTTAACAGTCTTGAGTGGAGAAACAAAGATTCCACCACTGCAACAAATGTGTTACCATATTTCTCCACTCAAGACAGTTAAATTTCAATATTTAAAGCGTGAGGCTTGCCGAGCTTTTTAAATATTTAAAATTTAACTGTTGAAAGTGGAGAAATTTTGTAATACACAAGTTATAGTGGTGGAATCTGTTTCTCTAATGATTTTTATCCTTCCCTTTTCAAAGATTTGCAGAAAGTTGTGTTCTTTATATGTGATGTCATCAGGTATGGGCGCCTTTTTTCATGAAGTCACAATATGAAATTCAGAAGAAACCAAGAAAATTTGACGTCATAACTAAATTTCGACCAATCATTTGCCGAGAACAGTTATTTCACTAGTGAGGAGAACAATTTTGTCACTATCGGTTGGGAAATGTGAAAATAGTGAAAAATTAGAGAAATATTGAATAACACTCGATGCAGTAGGGCCAAAATAAATTAATAGTGTGTTTCCTATTTCACCTCCAAAAAAATGAGGTGGGGTAGGTAGGTAAAACTTTTTATTTTATGAAAACATTTTATTTTTTTTTCTATTGATGACAGCAGAAAAAAGTTCCAAATCAAATCGTTTAATGTGCAGGCTTCTTTGATATCTACAATAATAATTAAATCCACAGCTTTTTTAATTTTCTGTTTTAGTTCTGCTCCAGAAATATGAAAATAAACTTTAAAGAAAATTTTATGCATTTCATTGGTTGTAATAGGAAAAGTGTATGTTCTTGCCGATTAATTTTCTTAAACCAAAAATGGCAGTGAAAAATCTTGCAGGGTATGTTATTATGTTGGGCCTAGTTGAACCTAACAAAGTAAATGACACACAGGGTATACATGTGGGAGCATATTAGTACCCCTTGAAAACACTGTGAATTGATGCTAAGCAGAAGTTAATTATTATTTTTTGAGGGTTACTCTGCCCTTGCACCCTCTGTATTTAATATACAGATGTGTTTTGATGTTCGACAGAATGTGATCTTGATTGAAGAGTGGGTGGTTCTGACAATATTAAAAATCCAGGTTTTTAGAAAAGTGAGAATGTGAAATCTTTTTCTTATTAATCTACTGGCATATGATATGATTTTTTTCCCCTTGTATAAATTGTTATAGGACCAGCCAGAGAAATAAAAAAGAATAAAAGTAGACATGGTGCTGGGATAGATTCATTTATAAATGAATATGAATCATACACCATGTCAGCCTACTGGGGAAAGCTTCTTTTCCTCTTTCTCGTTCCACATTGTCTGTCCCCATGCCATCATTAACTAAAAAGCATTAACAGCCGTTTATGTTGCATCCTGAGCACAATTCTGTACAACATTCGTAACAGCATGTTTTACAACAAAACCTGGATTGATTTTAGCAGTAAATTGAACTCATTTTACTCTAAAATTGTTTGTCAATTAACCGACAGATACAGTCTGTCCAACCTGAAACGATTCCGACTTTTGGTCCAAAGAAGCATAAATACATGACGAGATTTTGTTAATATATGTATATATACTGAATACACTATTCATTAAATATATATAAATATTTAAAAAATCTCGTACCTGTTCAAAGAAGTTGAGCAAAATGTCGTCGAAATGCTTTACTTATCCATATTTGTCATTATTATCAAACTCTTTGAAGATCTATAGTATTCTAAATGAATAATCAGATCCGGACTGAAAAATCCGGATTTTGATTTTTGATTTTTTTTTTGTCAATAAAATGTTTAGGGTTGGCGTCAGAAACGGAGGTAGGGTCGGGAAACCGGAAACACACTATTTATTTATTTTGGCCTAGTAGAATATATCTTTATCTCATCACTGAATAAAATTTTCATGAAAATAAAAACAATGTGACAAAAATATTTTAAAAGTAAACAAATATTCCACTATGGCGTAATACTCTACAGTCATGTGAGTAACTTACTTGCATGATTCTAAGAGGCCCTGATAATGTTTCTGTTAATTTAGGCATTTCATTAGCTTTTTCATCAAACACAAAACAGCTGACTAAAGCACAACACTGCTGTACTGACAGATCATTAAATACACCATTGAACAACAATTCTGTCATTAATAACTCATCACCACTGAAATATAACAATAAAACATTCTAATGCAATTTTTATGAAACCATTTTTTTCATTTACTAAAATTTACCATCAAATCCTCAGTTAGCATGTCATAGCTAAGGAGTGGGCCACCATATTTAATTGCTTGAATCAACAAATGTTTGATTACTACAATATAATCAAAAATAAAACAACCCCTACCTGAAAAATGCTGTTTTGATGTGATTTAATCCAAAATTGAATCGTAGAAGTAACGTTATAACCTTCCATTTGAATGTTTTCATCTGTATGGCATCATGTTTAGCCATGACATTTACTGTAAACCAACTTATTTTCGCGGATACTTTATTTCACGTGTGACTCTCCCCAGTTGACTTTGCGGCGATTTATTTTCGCGAATTTCTAATTTTCGTCATCTATTTACATTACAGAGGACATACATCTTATGTATACGCGACGATTTATATTCGCGTTATTTTCCTACTCGCGAAAGTCGCAAAATCAAATCGCCAACAAAAATTAGTTGGTTTACAGTATGCGCCAAAATCATTCATGAAGTTTCACAGAATTATATTTGATTTCAAATTTATAGTCTTTTTCTAACATAGTTTTAACGTATTATTTCTTTTTGTAATGCATAAGATTTGGAATAACAGTACTGCAGTTGAAGAGTTGCCACCATCATTTTTGATTTGAAGGTTGTAAATTTCTGTTTTATTGTTTCTGTTACAAGTTGCCAGTAAAACTGCATTTGCGACCGTCAAGTCACCAATTGACGGCAGCAACTCTTCAATTACAGTACTGTTATTCCTTAATTTACCTTATTTGATAGATAAAAATATTAAATTTAGATGTCTTATGGTTAGTTTAGTTTAAACAATATTCTATTCAAAATAAAATGAATTGCTTTAGGTTATGTGTGTTGTTGTGGTTTCTGTCTTATTGATTAACAGCTTTGTCCGATTCTTGTAAGTACAGCATGAACACTGGAGCTGTATTCTAATCTGAACAGATCTTACATATTCTATTCTAATTCAAACAGGAATCACTTGAAAAAATTTCAGACAAAATTGTTCAGCTACATGGATCAGGCCTTTTCACCTAAACGCTTTCAAATTGTTGAACAGGACTCGATATTATTCATATTCAAATATTAAACAATTTCCTATGTAATGTTAAAGACTTATCTTTATTTTCTTGACAGCTCAAGGATTTTGATTGTCTGTTGATTTCTTTTCACAAAAGAACTAACCCACAATATAAGGGTACTTGCATGTCTTAGTGCCATTAATTGGAAGACTGACATTGGTTTTTGGTTTTCCCAATGAACTATTACCGAAATTACTTTCTCATCCTTATTTTAATAACTCAAAAGCTTCTTTTATTTCTCATTAACTAAAGTTTCCTATTTACCTGCTGATTTCACAAGCTACTCTCCCTTTCATTTCTATAACATCTGATGCTGTGCAGTATCCCAATCTTCTTAATACTCTCTTTCTACATTTCAGTTCATCCATTTGTAATAATGATTTCTTCTTTTTTAATTCTGTCTTTAAGTTTTTTATGTCAGCACCAACCTTCAAATATTAATTGTAACTTAATGATCAGAGATTTTTATAATTTCTTGCTTTCTATATCAACGTTATTGGTCTTTCCTACACTGTCTCAACCTTCTATTTCTTGCTTTCTATATCAACGTTATTGGTCTTTCCTACACTGTCTCAACCTTCTAAGTTCTATGCTGTATCAAATGTAATAGTTTTGTGAGGTCATATGTTTTTTAACCAGACTTTAATAACTCTGAAACTTATCACCAACATCATAAAGTGTGAGCCCCTCCAGACCACCCTTTTTAAATCCTGGATCCACCTCTGACAACACTTTGAACTACAATAGTCATATGCTTAACAACAAAGTTTTACATACTCATAAATTTGATCATATCAGTAAGAGTAAGTTAAATCTGTTATCTGTAAGTGAAAGCATTCCTTTTCACTGTTTAAGAATAACTTACCCTAGCTTTTCTCTCATACAGCTGATATAATTCCTCTAATTTAGGGTCTTTGTGTAAAGGATGGGAGTACATCCTGTGTTCAAATGCCTCTATTTTCTAAAAGAAATTTTTTAGTTTATAATAAATATTTTTTTTATATATGCATTTTTTTTAATTTCAAGTTTTTACCAGTTTTCTTCAAACAGTTTTGCTTCTATTATTGCGAACCCAATGAAAGTTTTCCACAGTGCCATCTCTATCTTGACCAGGTATTTAAACTTTTGTAAGTTCACCTGTCCTATTGAATGAATACAATAGCTATTGTTCTCCATGTAGTTTTTTCACTGGGACCTTTAAATTTCTTCTAAGAGAAATCTATCACTCATTGATTAATTTACCTGAGTAAAAAAAAAATCTTGTAAATAGAGGAAAATAGATATAGGAAGATGTGGTATGAGTGCCAATGAGAGAACTCTCCATCCAAGTTTTATACTCAAAACTGCATGTGATGTTATATTTATTCAATATTGATAATATATTTTCAATCGGTTAAATGTAAACAGTGATGCAAAGTTGAAACATTAATAAAATATAAACTAAAATCTCTCAAGAGCCTGTGTCGCTCACCTGTATTTACTGATGCTTTGGAAATCATGTAAAATAAGGTTAAAATCATAATTAATAGTATTAGATATTAGATATTATAATGATATCTAAGATAATAACAAAAAACTGCAAAATTTTTGTAAAATTACTAACTCAGGGGCAGCAACCCAACAACAGGTTGTCGGATTCGTCTGAAAATTTCAGGGCAGATAAATCTAAATCTGATGAACATTTTTGCCACCTGTCAGATTTGCTCTAAAAGCTTTAGTTTCAGAGATATAAACCAAAAACTGCATTTTACCCCTATGTTCTATTTTTAACCAAGTCGGCCATGATGGTTGGAAGGCGGGGTCATCGGACAAATTTTTTAAACTAGATACCCTAATAATGATTATGGCCAAGTATGGTTAAATTTGTCTCAGTAGTTTCAGAGAAGAAGATTTTTGTAAGAGATTACAAAAATTTACAAAAAATTGTTAAAAATTGACTATTAAGGGCAATAACTCCTAAAGGGGTCGACTGACAATTTTGGTCATGACAACTTATTTGTAGATCTTACTTTGCAGAACATTATTGCTGTTTACAGTTTATCTCTATCTATAATAATATTCAAGATAATAACCAAAAACTGCAAAATTTTCTTAAAATTAACAATTCAGGGGCAGCAACCCAACAACAGGTTGTCAGATTTGTCTTAAATTTCAAGGCAGATAGATCTTGACCTGATAATCAGTTTTACCCGTGTCAGATTTACTCTAAATGCTTTGGTTTCAGAGATATAAGCCAAAATCTACATTTTACCCCTATTTTCTATTTTTAGCCATGGCGGCCATCTTGGTTGGTTGGAGGGGTCATCGGACACATTTTTTAAACTAGATACTTGAATGATGATTGTGTTTAAGTTTGGGTGCATTTGGCCCAGTAATTTCAGAGAAGATTTTTGTAAAAGTTTACGGACGACGGACGCGAAGTGATGAGAAAAGCTCACTTGACCTTTCAGGTCAGGTGAGCTAAAAAGGAGATGTGGTGTGATTGCCAATGAGACAACTCTCCACAAGAGACCAAATTTATGTACAAAAAATGAGAAACAAATATGTAACACATAAACAAACGACAACCACTGAATTACAGGCTCCTGACTTGGGACAACCGCATACATACAGAATGTGGCAGGGTTAAACATGTTAGCGTTGAATCATAAAAAGTTGATTTCTGACAAAACTTTCAACATTGTTCCTTTTAAAAAAAAATTGTTTGACATGAATAAAAACTTGAAAATTATGATGTTCAAATTAAGATCTTCTTAAATGTATTCTATAACTAAAAAAAAAAAATCAAATTTCAAAAGGAACATTAATAAAACTTTTGTTAGAAATCAACTTTTTATGATTGAATCAATGTTTATATTAAACTGAATGAAAATATACTATTTATATTGAATAAATACATCATCACACGCAGTTAATGAGTATAAAAAAAGTATTTTTGTCTATAAGAAAATTTTTTTACTCAGGTAAATTAATCAATGAGTGATAGATTTCTCTTAGAAGAAATTTAAAGGTCCCAGTGAATAAACTACACAGAGAAAAATAGCTATTGTTTTCATTCAATAGGACAGGTGAACTTGCAAAAGTTTAAATACCTGGTCAAGATAGAGATGGCACTGTGGAAAACTTTCTTTGGGTTCGCAATAATTACTGTAGTAATCTACATTACATAGTTTTTATTTTCCACTAGGATGTAAACATTTTTATTAATTCTTATACCAAAAATTTGCTGCTACAGGAGTAAGCGCACAAAAGCAGACCATATGAAAAAAAATGTCTTTTGAAGAAACAATTATTTATTCATTCATTTATATTTTTTTAAATTTTTCGGAAACATTGATAATTCAGATCTTTTATGGGGAATTTGAAATTATATCTAAAAGTAGGATTTCTGTCCAACTGTAGCTGGTGAACCAAAACAACTGAATGTTTTTCCGTATAATTGTTTTTGTATGCAAAGTTTGGTTACAAAATTGAAACTAAAAAAATTGTATATAAAAAAAAGTAAAATAACAAAAATACTGAACTCCATTGTCTTAATATTGAATTGAATTTTGGATATCTATCAGAACAGAAAATTCAAAACATTGATATATAACACAGCAACTAATCATAGAGCTACAGAAACTGGTTAATTACACTGAAATTAAACATATGCAAAACATGCTACATTGCTTAATTTCAGTTTCAACCAAATTATACTTAAAACCTACCTTGACACATTCTTTCAGACCTTTTTCTTTTATACCCATATCTTCTATAGGATCAATCAATGGTACTCCATCTGGAAATCTCTTTTCCACTTCCTATTGTTAAACAATCATTTTTTAAAGAATATTTTTTAAAGGTTAGTTAATGATTTTTCATTTTCGATATTGTATTGATATATATTGTTTAAATGTTTTCTCTCAACTAAAAATGATATATTTGAACTTTCTGATGTTTCTGATCATAAAAAATTATCTGTCTATTTGTTCAAATGCTTAAATATTTCATGATGGAAGTTTGGGTGGGCCAGTGAGTGAAATTTTTAAAACAGGACCTCTTTTTATTCCTGTAAAAATTTGGAACTTGTCAATTCAATAATTAAGAATTTTTTACAATAATTTCTTCCAATGTTTCCTGGTTGGATGGTGAGGATAACATGATAAAATTCTTAAATATGACACTTGCAAAAAGCAACATTTGGTCTCAATACCACTATAGAGTTGTTATATTGCCATTTCTTTTACTTATAGTAAGGTGGCCATATTCATTTTTTAACAGGGTCATGACATTAATTTTGATATGGATGAGCATCATTAAACAGATGGCAAATGATTGAAATAACTCTCACAGGTATTCAAGGTTAGGTGAATTAAAATAAGTAACTACTCAACGAAACTCCTAACATTTCTTACCTGTATTGACTTCAGCACACTTTGTCTGTTATCAATGGGACGTAAATCTTGTGGTATGTATAATCTGACAGCACTTATTTGTTGTATTAAATGTGACAATACTGGAATAACCTATAAAAGAATACATACAAATTTTTTTTATTAGAGAAATGAATATTCTCCTCTAACTATTCTATTGCTTTAACAAAATGAAATGATATTTTAAAAGGTGTATAAAATTTCAAAGTTCTGATGTTATTTGTGTATAATTTCAACCTTTAAAAAAAAGTTATAAGATTAATCATGAGGTGAATTAATTACCTGCATTTCTCCTCTTTCACCAGCAGGGCATGGTTTGATATTTGCTGAGTTCCTACTTCTTGCACATTCTTTAGTAAGATGTGCTAACACTTCAGCTACATATACAGGACCGGAATCTTGTGTACTCTGCATAAAATTTTAAAATACTATTCTAATGTAGATTAAAGATATCTCAACCTGACCTGAATTTCCTCTATTTACAAAATGAACCCAGATTTCGGTTGTTCAACAAAATCTTGTGGATATTTCTTATTTCCCACCCCCCCCCCCCCCCCCCCCCCCCCCCCCCCACACTTCAGATTTACCATGATAAAAACCAACTTTATTGGGCCCTTTTCAACTGATTTTTATAGTTTGTTCTTATGTTGTACTGTTCCACCACTGTCCCAGGTTAGGAAAGGGTCTAGCACCAACAAACTAGTTTAACCCCGCCACATTCTGTATGTGTCTGTCTCAAGTTAGGAGCCTGTGATTTCGTGGTTGTCGTTTGTTGCTGTATATCATATTTGTTTCTTGTTCATTGTTTTATACATAAATCATGCCGTTAGTTTTCTTGTTTGAATTGTTTTACTTTTGTCATTTCGGGGCCTTTTATAGCTGACTATGTTGTATGGGTTTTGCTCTTTGTTGAAGGCCGTACAGTGACCTTTAGTTGTAAACTTCTATGTCATTTGGGGTTCGGTAGAGAGTTGTCTCATTGGCAATCATACCACATCTTCTTATCTTTATATTTATGAATGTATTTTAAAGTAAATTTGAATTGATAAATTAACTTTGTAACATATTAATGTATGCAAGTTTGCTTCAAATGCTTTCCCTAGGATTTGCATTAAAACATTTGCCCACTAAGTATTTCTCAATAATTTTGAGAAAAAAAATTGAAATCTTAAATAAATTTTCAATACAATATTATGAAACTCCTGTCACTTGCTATATATATTTATTCATAAAGTATATGTTTATTCACAAACTTTTCCTATGCTTAACACAGAATTAGGTCTTTCCACTTTTCCGTGCAAATGTTGTTATTCTTAATTTCAATAGCTCAATCCTTAATCTGATATTGTATGCTAATAGATATATTGATTGCTGCTTGCTTAGTGTCAAGTGCATTTAAGTACAAGATATCTACACTTTCCCAATATAGACAATAATAACACCATAGTTACCTTGCTCTGGTTAGACTTTTTCTGAATATTTACTACAACTGTCCAACCAAAATCATCATTTCCATTCTTAATCTGTTTGATAACAGAAAAGGTAGAGCATTTTATTCATATCATATGCAATATAGTTTTTTTTCTGTTTTTAACCTGTGAAATCTAGATAAAAGAACTAAATGAATATTATTGTAGTTTTTAAGTGTAGAAAAAGCATTAACTAAACACACTTTTTAGTACAAAGCTCTTCTGTGTGTCATTATTTTAAACAATATGAAACTACAGAAAGCAGCCTTCAATTCTTAATAAGGTTCAACAAATTAATGTCCCAATTTGCAAAATGAATATTTCAGATATTTTTTCAAGCAAGAGTATGTGTCCATGTGTCCCCATGCATGCCCTGCTCACACTATCAACGAACCGCAAAACCTCTGTCAATACTCTAATTTGGCATATATCTTAGAATAGTTCTAATCCGAATGATTTACTTAGTTTTAAGTTTATGTGACTACAACTTTATTGTTGATAACCTTAAGGGCATATGATACAGTTACAGGGGAGGTACTGACGTCGCTAACATAAAATGTTATTTTTCAAGACATCAAACTGTGACATATCGAGAAAAGATGCATTTTTTGACAGATTTTTATCATTCAGACTGATTTAACTTGAAAACAAGTTAATGGACCTCTCTTCTTAAAAATTCGTAAGGGTTCCGCGGAACCCAGTGTCTCGCCTACTTTTTGCTGTTAATCACAGGCTCAGCAAAAATGAGGAAAAAAATTAATAAAAATATTCCTCTCTATACTATCTTTTGATTGTAAGTAGCTTCTGTCCAAGTTTGGTAAAAGTCCAGGATAGTTTATGAATCTAATAAATGTTTTAAAAACTTAAACTGCAGACTGTATGTAATGTTAACTGGAAGAAAAACTAAGTCCATTTATAAGTAAAATACAAAAAAAATGGAACAAAATTTCCTTCTAGATACTAACTTTTAATCATAAACAAGCTTCTGTCTAAGTTTGGTACAAATCCAGGATAGTTTAAGAAAGTTGTTAAAATTTTAAAAACTTTAACCACAGAGTGAATGTAATGTTAACTGGCAGAAAAACTAAGTCCATTTATAAGTAAAATACGGAAAAAATGGAATTTTTTTTTTACAAAATTTACTTCTGGATACTAGCTTTTAATCATAAACAAGCTTCTGTCCAAGTTTGGTACAAATCCAGGATAGTTTAAGAAAATTGTTAAAATTTTAAAAACTTTAACCACAGAGTGAATGTAATGTTAACTGGCAGAAAAACTAAGTCCATTTATAAGTAAAATACGGAAAAAATGGAATTTTTTTTTTACAAAATTTACTTCTGGATAATATCTTATGATCATAAACAAGCTTCTTTCCAAGTTTGGTAGAAATCCAGGATAGTTTAAGAAAGTTATTAAAATTTCAAAAACTTTAACCACAGAGTGAATGTAATGTTTCCTGGCAGAAAAACTAAGTCCATTTATAAGTAATATACGGAAAAAATGGAATTTTTTTTTTACAAAATTTACTTTTGAACATTATCTTATGATCATAAACAAGCTTCTGTCCAAGTTTGGTAGAAATCCAGGATAGTTTAAGAAAGTTATTAAAATTTCAAAAACTTGAACCACAGAGTGAATATTTGTGGACGCCGCCGACGACAACGACGACGACGGAATGTAGGATCGCTATGTCTCGCTTTTTCGACAAAAGTCGAAGGCTCGACAAAAATGCCATTTGGCTTGATTATGTATGAAGATTATTTGTGCCAATTTTTATAAACAAATCACCGATGACATTTTTTTGAATTAGATAAATAAGGGATATTCCATTAAAAAGAATGTACCAGGGTCGGACGGCAATTATAAAAAATCCCGTTGGTTGTTGATGTGTTGAAGCGTTCATGGCCAGTGGCCCTTGATGTTTTGAGAAACTAAGTATTGTTGGTTGTTGGTCTTCTTTGACAGTCAGTTTTCGTAACTGTCGGTTTAATTGTGTTATTTTTCTTTCTTTATTATTATTTGTTTTGCAAGGACTTATAAAACCGATTGTTTTTGTCTCCTGCTCTTATCGTGATATTTTGGAAAACAGAACTGTTCCCGCGACTTACGCAGCAACAGGCGCAACGTTGTATTCTATTTTTATCTTTATAATACATGACAGCGATGCTCATTTTGTTCAACCGCTAGCTTTATACTGAAAATTGCCAACAAGTAATGTGTAAATACGAGTAAAATCGTATCTCCAGTCAAAAACAACATTGAAAAACAATGGATGCCCTAAACCGGAAATGAAGACGATTACAATACTGGATCAGATTCCGGGGTAGTTCCGGGTTTGCCGATCAAATACAATAAAAAAATAATAATTCCAGGCAGGTGATAAAATACATCTATGATGATGAAATATAAACACTAGAATTGAAAACCAAAAGATATATGGAAAAGAAAGAAAAAGCATGAGATATTTTTAATATACAGAAACTCAAAATAACTTTTAGTTCACAAATTTTCATGTCAAAATCAATGAAAATTATGTGACAGTAATTTTCTTTATCATTCATAAATGTTGATATTACATGTGGATGTTTTTATAGAGTAACGTATACATATATCTTCAATTGCAAGAGGTAATTTCTTGGGTTGGGGTATCATCAGTGAGCAGTAGCTCGCAGTTTCACTTGTTGATTCTTCGTATCCTTTGTCTGTGTCATCGTAAACTTTTTTCAAACAACTCTGAGCCAACAAAGCCAATTGGAAGCAAACATGGCCAACATACATTAAGTTCACAGAACAATCCATTTGCAGTTCTATAGACCACAGTTCTAATTTTCATCAGTGATTTTTATAATAATAATAATAATAATAATAATAAATTCTTTATTTAAAGAGGGTAAACTCAGTTAGTTACAATAAACTAATCTTCCCTGAGGCCCTCACATACAAATTACAATACAATCAAAAACAGATATTTACACATAGTTAATTTACAGTCAATTAGTTCAATGTAATATTACTAACATGATAAGATATAAGGCTGTAAAATAAGATTTGAAATGTTTCAAACCCTGGTGACCAAACTATATTTTTCATATTTAAGATTTAAAACACAATGAAATTTGATCTCATTTCTTCCCTCCACCCCCCCCCCCCCCCCAAACTCCCAGTTCCCTCCCCCTCATACCCAGGTTCCCTGAATCCTGTCCACCCCCTAAATTGTCCAGCAACTATAATGTTTAAATAGCAATTCCTTTGGTTGTGATAAATTAGAATAAAATAAGTTAGATATATTCCAGTTGGTTCTTGTATTATTATGAAACGACTTCCTGTTGGTTGGTGTTAAGATACATGGTACATTCCTCTTGGTCGTGGGGGTGATTAAAAATCTAATTTTCATCAGTGATTTTTATAATAATAATAATAATAATAATAATAAATTCTTTATTTAAAGAGGGTAAACTCAGTTAGTTACAATAAACTAATCTTCCCTGAGGCCCTCACATACAAATTACAATACAATCAAAAACAGATATTTACACATAGTTAATTTACAGTCAATTAGTTCAATGTAATATTACTAACATGATAAGATATAAGGCTGTAAAATAAGATTTGAAATGTTTCAAACCCTGGTGACCAAACTATATTTTTCATATTTAAGATTTAAAACACAATGAAATTTGATCTCATTTCTTCCCTCCACCCCCCCCCCCCCCCCCCCAAACTCCCAGTTCCCTCCCCCTCATACCCAGGTTCCCTGAATCCTGTCCACCCCCTAAATTGTCCAGCAACTATAATGTTTAAATAGCAATTCCTTTGGTTGTGATAAATTAGAATAAAATAAGTTAGATATATTCCAGTTGGTTCTTGTATTATTATGAAACGACTTCCTGTTGGTTGGTGTTAAGATACATGGTACATTCCTCTTGGTCGTGGGGGTGATTAAAAATTGTCTTCCGACCCTAGTACCTCCTTTTAAATGGAATAGCCCTAAACAGCCAAAAATGCAGTTTTTTTTTTTACTAAAGTCATGAAAATGTGATAAAATAAATCATTTCCAAAGAACTGTTACACAAATTCGAAACATGCTTATGTAGAGAAGATATTCCAGATGTTTTTAGAAAAATCCGCTTACGTTTATCTTTTAAAACAAAAAAGTTAGGTATGTCTTTCCAAACGATAGAAATGTCAAAGAAACTGAAATGTCCAGTAAATGTCTAAAATTTCGACCCCAATTATCTCTAAAAGTAGCACAAAAGTATCTATTTTATTACATATTTGAATTGACTAGGTGAAAAATAGCTTGTATGCAAACTTTCGTCAAAAATTCACTGTGGGATCAAAACTGTATCATATGCCCTTTACCCAAATTTCTAACCTAATACGGGACTGACTGTTTGATCAACAGACGTACAATAGAAAAATAATGCCCCCTTCTATAGGCGTATTTTTCAAAGAATGGACATTTTTACCAGTCAATAAATTACAAATCTGATTTATAAAGCAGATACATTTACTGAAATTCTGTTTTTCTATACAAACTCCTATAACCATAGATACATACCTTCACAAGCCTACCAGGCTGTAAGAAAGGGAGTAAATATTGTGGTTTCTGTATAAATGTCAGTAAATCACTGCCTAAGTTGTCTAACTGTTGACGGATTTTATAATATGCTGACACATGGTCTTCATTAGGTACTTCAATTGCGCCATATTTCACTTCCATTCTTCGAAGTTCTTAAAAAAAAAATATATGTGATTTACATAAACTAATGTTACTTTTCTATGGAAATCATATTATATTTCAAATGATTTTATAATTGATGGCTCATGCACATATTATTGAACATTATTACTTTCAATTAAAAAAAATTATGGCATCATAAGAAATCAAAAAACCTTTGTGAGCATGCTCACACAACCCACGGCCCCACATTGTCACTGAGTAAACCAAATCTTAACAGATTCCTGAGTTCAAAGAGTCATAACTCCTACAAAAGTCAACTGATAAAAATTTCTTGTGGATATGCACAACTACATATTATATCCTTATTATCTATAAATTTCCATGAAATTCTGTAGTGTGGTTTCATAGGAGTTGCAATGACAAACTGTTGCAGTTGTATATTTAGACCAAAATTCTAAGTTCAAAGGGCATAACTCCTAGAAAAAAAATGCTGTATGATTGACATATACTTTTAATTCATATTTATTCTACGTGCTGTTAAAGAAATGTTTGTATTTGGGAGGGATAATCACAACAATGGACAGGTAGTGGTATTTTCTCCACAAAATTCTAAAGAACTATTCAGGTTTTTTTAAATTCTACTGTAGGAAGTTATAAAGTGCTTACAAAGAGCATCTATTAAAATTCCCTTAAATATGAGATATGCATGCTATTTTTTTAAGGAATTTAAAATGTAGCATTTCAACAACATATTTAAAGAGAAGTAAGTGCAAATTCACTTTTTGGAAGTAAAGATTCCGAGTATTTTATTTGTATATGCCCTTCAGTTTACGGAAAATTAATTTTTCCTGGCTATGTTTATAAGCTTCCATACAGTACACATCCTTGATAATTATAAACAACCCCTGAATGCTTTGCTATTTGAAGAAAAATAAAATTCAAGGTTTTTTCATCACAAAGTCAAAATGTGTTGATGTCATACAAGAGAAGGGGTCAAATGAAAGACTGACCACCATTTGGTTCTGAATAACTTTTTCATACTCACTATCAAACAAATCAGGTATTGCTGCATAATTCTGGAACTGATAAAAAGATCTCTCCAACATATATTCTGGATTTATTTCTTCCACTCGTAACAAGTTCAACACCATGTTGTAGGTCAGATGAAATGCTGAGTTTAGGTAATCTGGCAGACCCTATAAAAATAAATTGGATAAGTCTGATTACCATATTAGGAATCATGCACATACTTTCTTTACTTTTAAATTTACTTTATCGCTAAAATCTAAAAATCACTGAGTATGAAAAATCTACAATTAACACAGCTTGAAGAATTATAGAATTACTACAGTATAACCAAAACACTTTTTATTCTTTCCAAGAGATAAATGAATTCAACTAGTTATACAACAAAAGTAATATTATTATAATTACCTTGACAATCTGTTTACCAGCTTGAGGGCTCATTTTTTCATCAACCATTAAGATAACAATACCTCTGTCATCAATACCTCTTCTTCCTGCTCGACCACTCATTTGTATATACTCTCCAGATGTTACCTAATTATAATATTATCATGTTAATGACAGTATGACTACCATTTTTTTACAATGATTTCTAATTTAAAGTACTGTCTTAAACCTTAATCAATATTGAGACAATTCCAAAATAGCAGAGTATCTTTGTTATAATCTAAATCTGAAACATAAATTCCTATTCAATGAATAAACAAATGTTTTAACCACAAACAAATTTTCATCAATTGTCCACTCAATTTTTTTGCTGTTAAATAGAATGTGGATAACAATGTACAGAACTGTTTTTTTTTTATTTTAAGAATAACTTAAACTTAAAACTGATGATGTGAGAAGGAAAATTGAATAAATTAGTATGGCAAATTCTTTCAGAAAATTGGACCTAGAGCTAAATAACCTACTATAAAGAACTAATAGGGCTCACATATTGTTTACTATTGTAAAGAAACATAGTTATGTTATACAACAGGCAAAAGAAGAAAAAGAGAAATTTGATTAGATATGTGTCAAATGTAATCAAATAACTATAAACATACCCATCTGAAGTCTTTACCATCAAACTTCCTAGCACTTGTAAACAATACTGTCCTGGCAGGCATGTTCAATCCCATGGCAAAGGTTTCAGTAGCAAATAAGGCCTAGAATACATATATGAATAATTAAATACATAATTAAACTGTCACAAAATTCTATCTTTTCAAAACTTCACTGAAGCATGATAAAGTGGAGCAGACATCTTATTCTGCTTGAAACAGAAATGTACAGATGCTAATACAACACATACTGTGGATTCATTTATTTTCGTGGGTACCAATTTTCGTTGATTGAGGAAAACTTGCATTTTCGTGGATATTTGATTTCGTGGTTTTGTGGTTTCTGCATACAAAGCCTTTAGAAACTTTGTAATTCGTTGAACATTTGAATTCGTGGTTCACCTGTACCCACGAAACCCACGAAAATTGGTACGCAACGAATAATAATGAATCCACAGTACTACATATCCCTGGTCCATCATAATTAATGTTTCACAAACATAATTAATCACAGAACTGAACATTTAATTTTAAATTACTGTAACATCACTGAAGGGCCTCATATACTACATGCAACTGAGATGAAAATGCAACTGTACAAGTAATATCAATTATGTACCATAAGGACTTATTCTGATATCAGAAAACTTATCATTGGGTGCTGAAGACGATGGATATGTAATACCTATCTCTGAAATTTGACATGAGTCATCAAAATTGCCTGCATACATCAGGTATGTGCATTTATACAATAAATAGTTACCATTTATTTTTTTCCCTAATCTTCATTTATACTGCCAATCAAAAATACAAGGAATGTTTAATTATCAATAGTTTTTAACATTTAAGGCTCCAGTTTGATTAAAAAGATTTTGTAGGTTTGAAATACAATGTAATATCTTTAGCAGATAAAACATGTTATAACTGCTTCCATAAATAAAATTACAGCATACATACTGGAGTGTGTACAAAGAATGAAGAAATTACTGTACATGTTGTAAGGTTTCTATTCTAATCAACCATTTCATTATGAAGTTCTAAGCTCTTATTGTACACATGCAATACCTTCCCAAAACATACTATCATACCTTTAATAATCCTTCAGAGAAGAGGATTTCTATGGTTTCTTTCAACAGAGGTAACAATCCACCATGATGTATACCTATACCTTTCCTCAACAGAGGTAACACTGCCTCTACCTGAGGTAGTTTCTTATCTTCGTCTGATAAAGCATCTATAGCATTATTAAACACCTCATCCACAAGACCTTTCTCTTCCTCTGAAATAAAACCATGTAAAAAATGATAAAATTTTGTGTTCTTAACAAGTGTGTGAAGTCATATACCTGAATATATTCTTGATTGTATGAAATATATGAAAAAATCTGTTTCAGGGAAATTTAAGTCTTATATTAATAAAATATATAAGATAAATCAAGAAAGTATGACATTTATGAAATATATAGAACATATTGATTGATTGATTGTTTAACACCATTTTCGTGGCAATTAGCTTTTAGTGCTGGAGGAAGCCGCAGTGTCCTGAAAGAACCATCACCTTTGGCAGGAAAACAGAAAATCCGAGTTCAATTTAGATTGAAGTTGAACCAGTGTTGACAGGCTAATGATTCAGTAGATGCACTACTTAGAGAGCACTTGGCTATTGAGGCAAAGAATATATATATATAACAATTCATGAAAATATTGCTGTTTTGGAAACCCTGTACTTTGCCATTTTTTAGACATTCAAAGTGTTTTCTACAATGAATTGATAATGAAGGTAATTAAATATTATCTTTATAGTGAACTCGGCAAGTCAATTCAAATGTTTAGATACCAAAGGTGTACATTTAAAATGTGAAATTAGTCTAAGAAATAAGAATAGTTTTGAAATATACAATCCAAACTGAGTTCCTTGTATAGAAAACCATATTGTTCGGTAAATATGTCATTTCAGCCATAATTTTTACCTGTATTAAAATCTAACTTGGACATCTGCAATGCATACGCTTCACAATCTTTCTTACTGAAGCTGAACACAATCACTGGAGCAAAATTTCTTTCCATTATCATCTTTATTATTTTGTAACAATTTGACTCATTATCTGAAAAAAGGAAAACATCAAATTATTTTTTAAATGATTTTCCTAACTACCACATAGTCAAGAAATATTTTACAAAGTGATATTTTTTGTAGTTATACAACATTTTATATGACTTCATATGATTTGTTTGAATTGTTCATGTGCAGAAAAAGATACTCAGTTAAGTTATAAATGTATCAAGCAAAATGTGCCGTTTGTTATAATTAGACAAAATCTCACCTACTTTGTACTTTTTGAAAGTTCAACTAATCATTGTAAGAATCCTTGTTGTATACAAACATTTATACTTAACATTCTAGCATCCTTTTTGTAACCTCTTTACATTAGTTTTTACCTTTAAAACCTCCTCTTCTTCCCCTCTGGTCACCCTTTGCAGCATCACCAGAATCTCTTAGCACAGACATTGCTGTGTTAAAATTCTCTTCTCTAAACTCTCCCTGGAAAAATTTATATATTTACATACCAAAATTTTGTTAACATTGTACATACACCTATATGACGAGAAACTTTGAAATACATTGGATTTTAGGACTAATCTGGTCCAACATCATACACAAGAGTGCACACGCTGAAATGTCTGGCCTACTATACAGACCACTGATTTTATGTTGATAGTCCTAGATATAAATTTTTACTACAAGTATCACATTATCATTTATGATCCAAGAAAATGAGGTCAAGGTCAGATAAACCAAGCTGGAAATACATGTTCACCTTTAATACAATCATTCCATACAGCGAATATAGATGACATATTGCTTATAGTATAAATGAAACAGACCAAAACATGGAAATTATATATTGACCAATGAACAATGAAAATGATGTCATGGTCAGATGAACCTGCCATACAGACATGTACACCTTAAAATCATTCCATGCATCAAATATAGTTGACCCATTGCTTTTAGTATCTAAGAAACAAAGTTAACCAGGAAAACTGAACATTGACCAATGAACCATGAAAATGAGGTCAAGGTCAAATAAAACCTGCCAGACTGACATGTACATTGTAAAATATTTCCATACACCAAATATAGTTGACCTATTGCATACAATATTAGAAAAACAGACCAAAACATAAAAACTTAATTTTGAGAAATGCACTGTGAAAATGAGGTCAAGGTCAAATAAAACCTGCCAGACTGAGATGTACATCTTAAAATATTTCAATACACCAAATCTAGTCCACCTATTGCATACAGTTTTAAAAAAACAGACCAAAACACAAAAACTTAACTTTTGCCACTAAACCATGAGAATGAGGTCAAGGTCAGATGACACCTGCCAGTTGGACATGTACACCTTACAATCATTACATATACCAAATATAGTAGACCTATTGCTTATAGTATCTGAGATATGAACTTGACCATGAAAACTTAACCTTGTTCACTGATCCATGAAATGAGATTGAGGTCAAGTGAAAACTGTCTGACAGGCACGAGGACCTTGAAAGGTACGCACATACACCAAATATAGTTATCCTTTTACTCATAATAAGCGAGAAATTAACATTACAAAAAAATTTAACTTTTTTTTTCAAGTAGTCACTGAACTATGAAAATGATGTCAAGGACAAAGGACTTATGACAGACGGAAACTTCATATCATAAGGCATTTATATACAAAGTATGAAGCATCCAGGTCTTCTACCTTCTGAAATATTAAGCTTTTAAGAAGTTAGTTAAAGCTGCCTCTCCTACTGGATCACTATCCCCATGTCGAGCTTTCTGCGACTGAAGTCGCAGGCTCAACAAAAATGTCCATGCCTATAAATAACCATACTTACATTTTCATCTACCACTAAATGTATTCCATCTCCACCAGCAGGGAATATGTAATGCTGTAATGGTGTGGGCCTGTAATCTGTATATACTACATGACATGGCTAAAATATAAGAAAATCAACTTATAAAATATCTGCAATTTAGTTTTTTTCACTTTCACTAAAAAATAAAGTGCACATACTGTGGCTTTATTTACTTTTGTGAGTGCTAAATTTCACAGATTATGGAAAATTTGTATTTTCCTGGATACTTAATTTCATGGTTTTTTGTTTTTATGTACTTTGTCGAAAATTGGTATTGAACAAATAATAATGAATGAACAGTACCCCTTACAAATGTGTTATGATGTAAGGATACATGTATGTATTTTAAATTAACATATTTCAGAAAAGCTGCTATCATAGTACCAATCTATAGCTATGGTAATTCATTCATCATAGCTGAACTGTAAAGGTGAGAGCATAATGTTAAGAAGGAGTAATTCATTCTCACATGAATCAATACTAAAGTTTAAAGAAATCTTTGGCAAGTAAATATTCTGAGAAAGACATAAAACTTCTCATAAAATGAAATACAGAAAAAACATCAATACTTATTCAAAATATCCATAAATCTTGTTTTTACGTGCCTGTTTATGTAAATGACATATCCATTCAGCAAACTGTCTAGCGTTTGGTATGGTGGCCGACAGAAATACATAATGGACATTATCTGGTAATAATATAATGGTTTCCTCCCATACAACTCCTCTCTCTGAAAAGTAATGGAAATATCAAATGCGTAAAAAACCTTAGGCAAAAGAAATGAGAACTTTCTTTTATTTCTTCAACTTAAACCAACAAAATTGTAAAAGTGTATGTATTCATATAACAAAAACAAAAAAACTATCTCTCCTCATTTCTGGGTTGAAGTGATCACAGGTGTATAATAACACAAATATAGAGTTACATTAACTAATATCTAACTTTAGGAATTATGTTGATGAAGCTCACGGAAATCTTCAATTTAACTACAGGAAAATTTGTTATCTTGACTCACTCACTGTTAATGCTTTACATCAACTTCCAAGACAATAAATTTCCCAATTATTCATGCAAATGTGTCACATGTACATCTACCACACATTCTGTTATCTATTTATTGTCTCAGATTATATTGCGAGTTGTCTCTTTTGATTTATTGAAGGCCTTTTTTAGCTTCCCTTATGGTATTAGTCTTGGCCCACTGTTGACGGCTATAAGATAACCTGTGGCAGATATGCAGACTTTCACTTCGATATTGAATGGTCTTAGGTGTATAGTGTTCTCAATAAGCATAACTCATATCTTTATATTGAAAAATAATTTTCTTTTTTACAATAGCTATCCCTTACCTTTACCATTCATGTAATGTATTTCATATAAAAGAACATTTTCTAGCTTTAACATTCATGTAATGTAATTTATATGGAAAATTTTCTAGTCTATATTTATAGACATCGCTTACCTTTATCTCTCATGTAATGTATCTCATCAAAGATAACCCATGCCACTTCTCTCATAATCTCTGATCCTCTGTATAACATACTTCTCAAAATCTGTAAAAATCACAACAGTTTATACATAAATCAATCATACATACATCTATTCACACTGAAATAAATTTGTAATTTACCCTGGCAATGAGTTATGCAGAATTAAAATATTTTTTTACAATTCAGTAGTACCATCAGTATCTAAAATTATTCAATCCACCAATAAATGATGCCATAATACAGGTTAAGTTGTTGCAAAAAACCCACATATTGAAATATGGACAGTAAATTTCCTTCAGGCTGAATATAGACATATCTTCATTATCTTAACTCCATATTGGGAAATTTGTAGGTACTTGTTCAAGTTAGTTTATGACATGAAATAGGCAAAATGATTTTTAGTCTTTCATCTTCCTATTACTGGTTTAGTCATCTCCGTGCTGAACATCAATATTCTTTGTTACTCAAGTCAATTTGTTTGTTTAAATATGTTGTCCAGATTATTATGTATTATTTTTTATTTTCATTCCTTGTTTTATATCCTTATGAATCAACTTCTGAGATAATTTTTATTGTGGAATTTTTTGCTTTAATTATGAAAATTACTGTCTTTAAAATTCAATGTATTCTTCTGCATTTAATCATGTGTAGCAAGAAAGTAAATATAACAAATGTATGAAATAATAAATTGCTTCTCCGAGCGCAGCTGGATATGACCGCAGAGGTCCAACCCTTAACATTTGGGGCAAAAATGGACACAATATTCGCGCTTAATACAGGTCTGAATTTGGATTGTAATTAAATATTTGACACATAATAATCTGAAATCTGAAATGAGAAAAAATTGTCCCCCCTCACAATTTCTTTTTTACCCCCCACCCCAATTTTTTTTTCACCTCCCTCCCTTTTTCCAAAAAAAAATTCTTTCCCTCAAGATATGGTCATAATCTCAATTCAAATTTCCAATGGAGTTTCAAACCATAATTACCCATTTAAATACATCATAAAAAGTCTTAAAATAGAAAATGACATACATAATCATGGCTAAAATTAATATTCCTTAATCAACATTTCTAAATAGTAACTTCTAAAAATAAATTGACAGCCAATCACCTAAAGACAATACAACATTTCTTTATACATAATTTAAAAGCAGTGTAAGGGAGGTAATCCAAACATAACATTGTACTTTTTTTTAATTGTCCATTAACCAGGAAACCCTTGTTTTTTCCCCTTTTTTGCCCCTAATTCCTAAACTGTTTGAGCCATAACCCCCCAAAGCCAATCCTAACCATCCCTTTGAGATATGGAAACTTGTGGTATAATTTCAGAGAGATCCATACACCGTTCCACAAGTTATTGTCTGGAAACTAGAAAAATGCTTATTTGGGCCCCTTTTTGGCCCCTTATTCCTAAACTGTTAGGAATATAAACCCCAAAATCAATCCCAACCTTCCTTTTGTGGTTATAAACCTTGTGTTTAAATTTCATAGATTTTTATTTACATTTACTAAAGTTATTGTCCGGAAACCAAATGTCTTCGGACGACGCTGACGATGACGTGATACCAATATACGACCGCGGTTGTATAAAAATTATAAACTAACTGAAAAGTTTCAACTGACCTCTGTAGTCATTATAAGACAACTGGCTGTAGGGTTAATGGTAACATCACCTGTCATCAGACCAACATCCTGGAACTCCTCATACAACTCTCGATATTTCTGGTTACTTAAAGCTTTGATTGGTGTTGTATATATCACTCTCTGCTTCTGTTGTAATGACATGGCTATGGCATACCTGAAAATTATTCATTAATATCAAGTTTTAGAGAATACCAAAGCAGATGTTAATTCAAAATAAATGTAAAATAAAAAAATGTTTGATTGGCTGAAAAATAAGACAAATATGTCAATATAAATGTAAATCATCAATTAGAATAAATAAAAAAAAACAATTCTACAATTCATATAATCTGTATTTTGTCTGATGCCAAAAATATATGCCATGTCAGCCACTAGTCTGATGTCTTGGATTAGTAATGTAAAATTTGGACTTGTAAGTACAGTACAAATTTCGCGAAAGGCTTCCCAAACTCTGAACACCAAGTTTTTTCTTGGTGTGACACCAGGAAACTCCGACATCCCTCCCTAAATTCTCGGAGAAATTTGGGAGTATTCCCTCCGACTTCCGCGTAAATTCACTACCTTTTGTTTATTGTATTAGTGACATCTCTCCCAGTCCGGTGTGATGCGGTGTCACACCAGGTAATTAATTGCCCTAATCCTTCTGATCTATACCGGCACGCGACAGTCAAGGTATGTGAGATTACTTATGTATTTAAACAATTGTATTTCCTGTCTATTGATAATCAGGTTATATTTCTGATTGCTTGAAACAAATAAAAGATTTAAAAGCAAAACGTTGTTGTTAATTCTTTCAATTACACTGTACATTTAAAAATAGTTTTATTAAAAAAAAACTATATTTGATTTTTACCTCGTTTTTTTTCTGGTCAGTAAATTAATATTTCATTTACAAAAGAGATATACTTGTGTAAAAATAAACGGAGACTTACGCTGAATAAATGTGGGCAGTTTAAAGGAAAATTACATGTCTCAAAGTTTTGTATACAAGTAAAAAAGAAAATATTATTCACTATTCGTTATGCTAATAAGTCCACGCCATTTTCATTTTACGATTACATAATTGCTTGAAACAAATTAAAGATTTAAAAGCAGAATATTGTTGTTAATTCTTTCAATTGCATTAAAGTTTTATAACAAAAACTATACTTGATTTTGACCTTGTTTAAGTTCATCGGTAAATTATTTTATTTACAAAAAGAGACATACTTGCGTAAAAATAAACGGAATCTAACGCTGAATATAAAAGTGAGCAGTTTAAAGAAAATTATGTGTCTCAAAATTTGTATATGCAAGTAAAAAAGAAAATACTATTCACCATTCGTTATGCTTAATAAGTCTACGGCATTTTCTCTTTATGATTTGTTGGCATTACTTTAGGATAAATAATTACATTTCGGCTACAACAGGAATACTTCTATAGCTGCATCAACTCCTCGTTGCATAATATTCATTTACGCACAATGAATGTAAACTTGTGCGTTGTATAAAGGAGTGATTTTTAAATTTTTTTAAAGAAATTAATTGCCGTGGGAAGACGATACACATCTCAGTGATCAACAGTCCGTGGTTGAACTTTGAACTTGACTTCGCTCACAATATTGAATGCTAAAAATAGTGACATCAATTTTGTCCACGAGATTTTTATTTGGCGGGAAATATTATCACGTAACGGTAAACTCAGGTGACCTTTCTAGATGACCGGGGGAAAATTCATTCGGGGTTTAAATTTGCTTTGGAATGATTGACATTTGTATGCCTTAAGATTGAGGCTTTAGAAGGTCCTTTTACAATTGATTAACCGGAATCTAAAATATAATCCTTTTCTGAATAAACGAACACCAGCCTTTTAATTTTACGTTTCTCAGTCAACACAGGACATAAACCTGGACATTATTTATACGTCCATGGTTAACAATATACATAAATGGTAGATGAAAACAGGATGCATGTCGTTCAGTTCCTGTTGGGCTTTGGTAGAGATCCTCTGTGAAAATGTGTAGATCGTAAAAATCCGATCCACATTTTTTTCACATATTTCTTTCTTGTAGAACACGATATAATTTCATTTAAATATTCTATAGTATTAATTGTTGAAATACTTCTTTTTTTTATTTCGCCATGGACTTTTAACGAGCAGTAAAATACGAATTGCGCCCATCCAATCTTATTTTAAATAATAAAGGATCAATAACAGATCATAACAGAGATAAACAACACATGATTTTTTTTTCTTCATATAATTAAATTATGTTGTGATTCTTGTGTTGTGTCTGGGCGGGGAATGTCTCTCAGTGTTGTGTTTTTATGAATATAGGGCACATTGCATACAAAACGTCCCTTCGTTCAACAGAGTTGTCACTTTACAGTTTCTTTTCTGAGTTCAAATATTTCAAGTCGGTAATCTACCGAGGTAGTGAAACATAATATTTTACATTGCAAAATAAATTGAAAGTAACAGAGTTCACTTGTTGATCCGATAAATTAACTCTTGGGTTTAGATTGGACAAATTACCGTAAAAACATCATTTTGACCTGACTATAATAAAAATACAAAATAAGTGTTTTTTTCGTATTTTTATAATGTACGTTTGTACATTTTATTTCAAATGACAATGACATGGGGCAAATACATACAAGAATAATTATCTTATTTTGAATGAAAATGTCACATTTTTATCTGTCAAAGAAAGGAAATTTTAATACCGTGTTTTAAAGCACACAGGTGCAATCAAGATCGATTAAATGTACAAAGGTAATAAATCTGGCTAATCCGATTATGTTGTCACGCGTCATTAATTTTCAGTACATCCGATGGGCAATAAACCAATTAACAGCCATGCGGTGTTGGGAGAGAATCTTTGGAGGAAATTGGGAGTATAATCCGTGATTCGCGGTGTGACACCGCTACACTCCGAAATCCGTGATTAGAGTTCGCGATTACAAACTCTCTGTGCGTACTGTACATGCAAAACTTTTTCAAGACTTTTTTCATTCCAATCAGTTAGAAATTATTTTTTTTTCAAGTAATGTGGGATATACAATTTTTACTGTCTTTACACTTACACTGCCACAACTGTTTTCCCAGCAGATGTGTGGGCTGATACTAGAACTGATTGGTTGTTTTCTAAGCATAATAAAGCCTCTTTCTGAAAAGGATCTAAAATGAAGGGGTACTCTTTGGCCAAGGTATCTGGCATCTTAGTTAAAGGCACAAACTCAGCATCTGGGGGTAATGCAACCTGTTAAGATAAAAAAAATTCTATGGTTACTTTATTTATTTCCATTAATTTTCATTGGTGACAGTGGCTTTTTGAAGAAAAAACTTACAAAGGGATTTATTTTCTCTCATCTTAGCAAGGTTAATGATAATATGTGAATCACACAATAAGACAGCTATTCTGTTGTGTGCAATTCTATTCATTGTGTAAAAAACTTCAGCTTTAGCAATTAAAGAACCTTAGTGAGTGCGCTCACATACCCCACGTCCCCACATTGTCACTGGAGAAATAAAATAACTGTAAGAAAAAAAAATTGTATAAGAAAAAAAAATTGAATCATAATTTCCTGTCGATATGCACATCTACATAGTATGTCCTTATTATCTACAAAGTTTCATGAAATTCTGTTTAGTGGTTTCAGAGGAGTTGCGATGACAAACTGTTGCAGAGGTATATTGAAGCAAATAAGTTCAAAGGGGCGTAACTCCTAGAAAAAAAATTGAATCATAATTTCCTGTCGATATGCACATCTACCTAGTATGGCCTTATTATCTGAAAAGGTTTCATGAAATTCTGTTGTGTGGTTTGAGAAGAGTTGTAATGACAAAAGGTTGCAGTAGTATATTGGGCAAATAAGTTCAAAGGGGCGTAACTCCTTGAAAAAAAATTGAATTGTAATTTCCTGTCGATATGCACATCTACGTAGTATGTCCTTATTATCTACAATGTTTCATGAAATTTTGTTGTGTGGTTTCAGAGGAGTTGAGATGACAAACTGTTGCAGTAGTACATTAAAGAAAATAAGTTCAAAGGGGCGTAACTCCTAGAAAAAAAATTGAATCCTCTTTTCCTGTCGATATGCACAACTACATAGTATGTCCTTATTATCTAAAAAGGTTTCGTGAAATTCTGTTGTGTGGTTTGAGAGGAGTTGCGATGACAAGAAACAGGACTGACGGACTCACGGACTGACAGACAGACGGACGGACGGGTCAAAAACATTATACCCTCCGCAACTCGTTGCGTGGGGTTTAATAAAAGCTCAGTTGGATCTCAGATAGATTTATAGTAACTTTACCTGACCCAAGCTGTTGCTCTGATTTCATGTTGTATCATGTGGAAATATCATAATAAATGAAGATTTACTAATTTTACTTTCCAGGCTATATAAATATAAACCAGGTTTTTTTTTATGATGAATGAACTGGTTTTCTGCAAGAGAAAAAATTGCAAATGAAATGAATTTTGCAATTAAGTGTTATGCTATTAAGCAGAGAAGACTGTATTGCATAAATTTAAATGATGGCTACACAAGATTTGTGCTGGGTAATATGATACTAAAGGCTTTAATGGTGGTAATTAACCATTATAAAATAGGTCATGGTCAACAACAACAAAAAATAATAAAAAGTAGGCTAGGCTAAAACACATAAATAACAGTGCCTGGTGATGATTCAAAGCCTGACTGGTTTCGGTCCTTCATGTCCCTTCTTCAGAGGCAGGATAATGGATTGAGAGTTACACACTATTCATAGTGTCTGAAAGTTATCTGTTACAGGATAAGTTTTATCTGTTCACTTGAATATTTGTTTGAATTTTCATAAGTTACGGTAAATTTCATTCAAATGATTTTGTATGTTACGGAAAACATAGAACAAACATTTGGGCTTCTATTGTGGCCTTTAAAATATCACATATGGTAGTTATGCAATCTTGATGTTTTGGCTTATGATAGGTCATGGACCACACTATGTACAATCAAGGTTATATATTAAATATAACTTACCTCATGAAGACAAGCCTCTGCAGTCTCTACTGTGTGGACCTGAATTCTTGGCATTACTTCTGTAGAGCTGGAATTATATACCGAAACATAAATAAATTTAATTGATCTTTCAGTTAATAGTTGCATTTTTAAAAACTTTATTTCTGCTTAATAGCAAATGCATATGTACAATCATCAATAGCAACAAAACATATGGCCTCTACATTTGCTAGTTACAAATGAATATAGGAGACAAAAAGGAAAACTTAACAGGAAGGTTATGTAGTGGTACATGTATATAACATTTTCTAAAAGTCTGGCAACATTATCTGGCTGGTTTTAAAAAATATATAATGAAAACTGTTTTAATTTTTGTTCCATTTCCAATTTGTTAAAACATAATTTGACCATGTAATTTCTTTAGAAAAAGAAAATAGCTTTTAAAACATGATAGCCAACCAGATGTTGGTTTGAAGTCTGTATCTCTCTACTCTTGAAAAAGGCCTCTAGCCTTTTCTTCTAAGGTTGGACCATTGGTTGAAATGTTTCTGGGCCTTGTGTTGTTAAACCTCCTTGCAAGGGTTACATAAAAAAGGTAAAACTGATTTCATTTCAGTTTCATTTCCTCATTACATTTTTGAAAATACAAAAAAGACATTTTTGAAAATCTACCTCATCTCCCCAGGAAAATAACTACCAAGACAGATCAGCTAGTAAATTTATAATGGAACAGGTCAGGATAAATGAATAAATCTTTGGAAATGCTATAAATTAAAAGAGTATTCATTATAGTCCATTCACTCAATATACATGATATATTCAAACAGAGTCAACTATTTTTTTCTTTTACATGTATTTATGTATGCATAAGTATCATTTATAAAGACATGTCTATATCAAGTGAATCTTTACTGAATAATATACAAAAAGATTTATAAAAATTATTTTATTACCCTGCATCATCAGCTAAACTCTTGATCTTTTTCATTTTTGGTTCTTCATTATCTTCCTCTACATCAACAGAATTTGCTGGTCTCTTTGTTCCAACAATGCTCTGCAGTAAATTATCAGTCCTGAAATAAATAAATAAATAACATTCTGTTGAAACATCTTCTACTTGTGAATTTGACCCTTGGAATATTTTAGCTCTAACAAAGACATTTGCAGGAATAATGTAATGTATTCTGTTAGTCTACAAATTTTACATTTCCAACAAGCAAAGAAATAAAATTAGATGTGGAGAGACAAAACATAGTCCTACTGAAAAATAAGGAAATTAGAAGTTCTGAGAAAAGTGGGTCACCCAGAATGAAAGGCGAACTTCATCTCTAACTCACCATTATATAATAACGAAAACAAAGGTATGATTGTTTTCTGTCTCCTGTCCAAAAAAATAGGGTTTGTACTTTAGATTTTTATTGTATTAATTATTTTAATCTTCTTATTCCTTTATGACAAAATCTGGAAAAAGATTGATCCCAATTTACCTTACACTGTAACACACATTAATTGGTCCATGCTTGTTGGAACTTTTAAGTGACAAAAAATAATTTAATATTTTTTACTGGTTTCAAAAATTTAAAGGCTGAAATTTCATTGGCTGATGTAATAATTACCAGAACAGAAAGTAGAACAGAGTGCTGTCAGATCCTTGTAAGCAAAGCATTGACACAGGATCTGTAACTTAATTTGTATTTTAATCAGATTGATTCTTGTTATCATTGTAAAAGCAAAGCTTATTGTGAAAATGAAACAAAGCAAAGTGTCATTCTTATAGGACTACACCCCTCTGCCTTTAGTTTCTAGCTATAATACTGCTTGTGTTTAATATAAACTTCTTTATATTTTATTGTTGCTGATCTACTATCGGTCGTCCAAACAGTAACACATAGGGTTGCTTGACATATGGTCTGCTGTCTAAGATTGTCAAACAGTTTCAACTAAATTTTCATACGCTTGCTAAAATTCATGTTTATTTCAGCTGATTCATGGCTGTAAGTTTACTGGTTATTCAGAGGAGAATTCTAGTCACTTGTGTGCCCTGCAGGCCTAGTGCAGGGTTTTACATCTAGATAGGATTAAAAGAACTTTATTCAGTTTTGTGTGATATGTAAACCAACCTTTCTTAGGTAACAGCATGTGACTAAGGCAGTTACTGCATAGGCAATAGTATGTTTGATCTGAGACAACTCACTATACAGTACACCCGAGAGACCTTAATACATTGTCATGATTGTAGCAGTGTAAATTTCCCTGTCCGTGTCTGAGGGTCTGTATGTGGTTGACAGAATAGAGAAAATGGGTAAAATAATATGAAATGAAAAAAAAAGCCCTTAAAAAAAGAATGCAGAAATAAAGACCCCCTTAGCAGTCATAATAACTCAAAAAAACTCCTTAACCTTGAACTAGATTAGGTTTTATTCTAATAGGAAAAAGGGATAGTTGTGGTTTCTATCTGCGAACAATAATCGTGTAATTGAAGATATAATAGTTGAAATTGTAGGACACATAAAAAAAAATATATTTAAAATCTAATTAAATGAATTAATTTTCAGGATCATGGACGTGATGAATGATCCATTTAAATGTTTATTATTTGTTAATCTGGTTTGTATATAAAAACAAGGAGATGTGGGATGCATACATTTTTGTACCTGTAAACCTCTGAAACTGAAAATGCAGGTCATGACCTGCATTGAAGAAGAAAATGTCAGGTCATAACGCGTACGAAATTTTTCGGTCCAATTTTGGTGTTGAGAGGTTTTTTTTTTTATATTCTATAACACATACTAGTACCACTGAGTTTCCGAAAAATAATCACTTTTGTATTTGTTAAGTATATAAATATTTATCATTAATTTTAAAATATCTTTCTGAATGTAATGTTTTGATAGCTGCCATTGGCACGGTAAATAAGCAAATTCTAATTTCAATTGTTTACCTTTTCAAAGGAAAAACGCTGAGAAAACAGAAAGTATATTTGACTTCTAAATACCGGAAACAATACCAGTCAGAAATACAGGTGAAAACATGTCATTTTCTAAAATCCCGGGTTATTTGAATACCTGGCGGGTATTTAAAAAATCCTGTGTGAAGGGGGAAATTCTCAGGTGTAACCCGCAGATTACGGGTCAGTTGACAGCTATGGGTATGATTACCAATGAGACATTGTTTACTCCATAAAAATGACAAATGAGCTCATTAGGGAATATTATTTCTATGCCAAATTCAAATAAAGATTTCTATGTAATAATGTATATGTCTAATCTATGGTTGGTTCTTTTATACAAATCATACAGTGTTTATCGTTATGACGTTAATGAAATAATATGAAATATTAAAACGTTGTTGCTCGACATTTTCAACTGGAAAAGCTGGGACAATACAGATTTCCTAATTTCCGTGGCACGTAGTGTAACGGGAATTAATTGTCTTCTCACGTAGTAGTTCGAAGGCGTATGAATTTTTTGGGCGGGAAAAATTATTGTGTTAAATGATAGGTGTATATATGGTCATTTCTAGCCCTGCCTTACTTGAGTGAACATCAAATTTTTTAACATGTACATTAAGAAACGTTTCTAAAATATTTTTGTTTATAAGTATGTTCAAATTAGCATTAAAGTTAAAACTTTTTGTTATATATAGGTGGTATGGCTATACAAACGTAATCGGGTGTTTATTCAGACTCTTTTCTGTCTTCAAATTATTTTCATATAGCCGCTGTCTTTTGACTGCTAGCATATTTTTTGCATTTAAATGTTTTCTTTAATGTTTTTTTTTTTTAACATTCTTATATCAAGTGCGGTCCAACAATTGGGGTTTCGCCTGGCATTGACAAAAGGACACAGGTTTCTAAAAGTAGTTTTTCCTGGTTGGCCACGAAACAATTAGATATAAGTAGAAGATATTAGGGGTAACACGAATCACCAAATAACACCGTTATTAGCCAAATAACACTTGTAATCACCGAATAACACTTGAAATTTTAATATTAGCACATATTGGTGACATTTAAACATTGATAATTAAATAATATTGTATTATAAGTGTATTTTATAACTTAATAAAATGCTCCGCAGGGCGCAGCTTGATACGACCGCAGAGGTCGAACCCTGAACAGTTGGGGCAAGTATGGACACAACATTCAAGCTTGATACAGCTCTGAATTTGGATTGTGATTAAATATTTGACACAGCATAGGTTTCTGACACAGAATGAATGTGGTCTAAGAACTTAAAAATTTTAAATTGGACATTCACCTATTATGGTCCAATATCCAAAATCTAAATACATGGTTAGATTCAGCATATCAAAGAACCCCAAGAATTCAATTTTTGATGAAATCAAACAAAGTTTAATTTTGGACCCTTTTGATCTCAATGTGGACAAAAATGATAACAGGGCCCAAAAATCAAAAATCTAAATACATGGTTAGATTCAGCATATCAAAGAACCCCATATATTCAATTTTTGTTGAAATCAAACAAAGTTTAATTTTGGACCCCGATTTGGACCAACTTGAAAACTGGGCCCATAATCAAAAATCTAAATACATGTTTAGATTCAGCATATCAAAGAACCCTAAAAATTCAATTTTTGTTAAAATCAAACTAAGTTTAATTTTGGACCCTTTGGACCTTTATGTAGACCAATTTGAAAACGGAACCAAAAATTAAGAATCTAAATACACGGTTAGATTTGGCATATCAAAGAACCCCAATAATTCAATTTTTGATGATATCAAACAAAGTTAAATTTTGGACCCTTTGGACTTCAATGTGGACCAATATAAAAAAGGGGCCCAAAATCCAAAAATTTAATACACGGTTAGATTCAGCATATTACAGAACACCATATATTCAATTTTTGTTGAAATCAAACAAAGTTTAATTTTGGACCCCGATTTGGACCAACTTGAAAACTGGGCCCATAATCAAAAATCTAAATACATGGTTAGATTCAGCATATCAAAGAACCCCATATATTCAATTTTTGTTGAAATCAAACAAAGTTTAATTTTGGACCCCGATTTGGACCAACTTGAAAACTGGGCCCATAATCAAAAATCTAAATACATGGTTAGATTCAGCATATCAAAGAACCCCATATATTCAATTTTTGATGAAATCAAACAAAGTTTAATTTTGGACCCTTTTGATCTCAATGTGGACAAAGTTGATAACGGGGCCCAACAATCAAAAATCTAAATACATGGTTAGATTCAGCATATCAAAGAACCCCATATATTCAATTTTTGTTGAAATCAAACAAAGTTTAATTTTGGACCCCGATTTGGACCAACTTGAAAACTGGGCCCATAATCAAAAATCTAAATACATGGTTAGATTCAGCATATCAAAGAACCCCATATATTCAATTTTTGTTGAAATCAAACAAAGTTTAATTTTGGACCCCGATTTGGACCAACTTGAAAACTGGGCCCATAATCAAAAATCTGAATACATGGTTAGATTCAGCATATCAAAGAACCCCATATATTCAATTTTTGTTGAAATCAAACTAAGTTTAATTTTGGACCCTTTGGACCTTTATGTAGACCAATTTGAAAACAGAACCAAAAATTAAGAATCTAAATACACGGTTAGATTCGGCATATCAAAGAACCCCAATAATTCAATTTTTGATGAAATCAAACAAAGTTAAATTTTGGACCCTTTGGACCTCAATGTGGACCAATTTAAAAACGGGGCCCAAAATCCAAAAACTTAATACACGGTTAGATTCAGCATATTAAAGAACCCCAAGAATTCAAGAATAAAACCCCATTGAAATTGATCAAGAAATAAGCAATTTATACGAAGTATCTTCTTTTGCACAATACTGTGCAATTGATTATTTCTTGCTATTGCGCAATACTGTACAATTGAAGATTTCTTGCTATTGCGCAATATTGTGCTATTGGATATTTCTTGCTATTGCGCAATACTGTGCAATTGAAGATTTCTTGCTATTGCGCAATACTGTGCAATTGAAGATTTCTTGCTATTGTGCAATACTGTGCAATTGAAAATTTCTTGCTATTGCACAATACTTATTATATAATAATTTACACATCCTGTTTGGTGTGTATCTCCTACCATATCATTATTATTTGCTTTTAAATATAAATCAGAAATAACCAACTTAAAATGGAAAATTTTAAAAGAAAAAAAAAAATCCCCCCCCAAAATTTTTTTGAACCCCCTTATGATTCATCACCCCCAAACTCAATCTCAGCCTTCCCTTTGTGGTATGGTACCTTGCAGTACAATTTCAGAGAGATCCATACACTTGAACACAAGTTATTGTCTGGAAACTAGAAAAATGCTTATTTTTGGCCCCTTTTTGGCCCCCAATTCCTAAACGTTTCGGGCAATTACCCCCAAACTCAATTCCAGCTTTCCCTTTGTGATATGGAACCTTGTAGTACAATTTCAGAAATATCCAAACACTTACACACAAGTTATTGTCATGAAACTAGAAAAATGCTTGTTTTTTGCCCCTTTTTTGGCCCCTAATTCCTAACATTTTGAGGCAATTACCCCCAAAATCAATTACAGCCTTCCCTTTGTGATATGGAACCTTGTGGTACAATGTCAGAGAGATCCATACACTTACACACAAGTTATTGTCTGGAAGTTACAAAAATGCTTATTGTTGGCCCCTTTTTGGCCCCTAATTCCTTAACTGTTGGTACCATAACCCCCAAAATCAATCCCAACCTTTCTTTCATGGTATTGAACCTTATGGTAAAATTTCATGGAGATCCATTCACTTAAACTAAAGTTAGAGTGCGAAAACCAATGTGTCTTCGGACGACGACGACGACGACGCCAACGTCATACCAATATGCGGTCGTATAAAAATGATTTATAGAAAGCAGGTAAGTTCATAAAGATCGCATTAAATATTAGTGTGTACATCCAACATGGCGACCAAGGAAAACACAATGGGAAGAATAAAAGAATGATTGCATACAATCCCTCAACGTGTTCATTTTAGACCACCAATGTGGAGCCCTCATGCCACGTCAAGGCAATGAACAATGTGAGGGTGGGCGCCTCCCCATTTAAAAAAATATGGAATATTTAACTGTTTACAATAATAATTTTTGTTTTTATAGTTAGTAAAAAATTAATATTATATTTTTTAATTTAAAAATGGAGAGTAACCAAGCCCTTTTAAAACTACTAAGATATCCTGCACAAGGCACGGGCTTATCTGTTATAGTTCGCGAAAACAATTTATTTAGAATTTTATTGTGAAAAATTAAAACTACTAAGATATCCTGCACAAGGCACGGGCTTATCCGTCATAGTCCGCGAAAACAATTTATTTAGAACTTATTGTTTAAAAATATTTTCTTCCAGTTGTACCTGAAAACATGCGCAACAATACTATACATGCATTATTTATCCAGTCTATAAAACAGCAATGGGGAACAGTAAAAGAAAAATGAATTAAACACAATACAAATTAACTGCACCTATACTTCATATTTGCAAGAAAATATTTTTTAACTCTGTTCTTCATATTTTACCGTAAATATGCTGAACATTTTGGTACTCGGGCATCATTTTGTACATTATTTCAAGCCAACTAATGTTTATCGGACGGAATACGAAGCTCGCGACGGGATACATTTCACTGAAGAAGGCTACCGTGCCTTCTTAGTAGCTTTGAGGAAGTCGGTCAGTTGGTTGATTAACAAAGTGAGCAAATGAACTGAAATATTTTCTCATTGACTCCACGTGAAATGAATTTTGTTCAAGAAGAAGAATTTTTTTTTAACATGATCGAATGTCTTTTGAATTTTGCACAAAAAAAGTATTTTATTAAACAGAAAAAAACTCATATCAAATAAGTTTAAATACTTTTTTTTTTTATTTTTATTTTCTGAAGAAATTTTTTATTATTCTAAATAATCAAAAATTCTTTGTGAAACAATAAAGCTTATTACACTTTTACAGAAGATATAGTTAGGAAGTACATATATTGTATATAGTTGTAAATATTTATTTGTGTTCTTTTTTCTTAATTATTATTATTGGTTTTGGTAATGCAGCCTTGGTATACCAAGACAGTCACAAGCCTGTTTAATGCAGAGTGTCCATACCGTAATATAATTTCATTATCATTTAATGATTAATTATGTAATGGGCACGTGTCAGTAAACAACAATCTAATTAACAATATGATAGAATTGTAAGGTAATAAATATTTTGATAATTGGGAACTTGGCATTATCACAATTAAATTATCTAATTGGCAAAAAATATTTCATTATTAAACTTAATTTAATGTATTCAAATGGATGAACATAGCAATAAAAAAAAATTAACTTCTATACTATGAATATTATTTTTTTTTTCCTTTACTTTTATTCCTGAATTATGTATTAAAATGGATGAACATAGCAATAAAAAAATAATTAAACGTCAATACTAAGAATATTATTTTTTCTTGGCCATGTCGTACTTGTTGTCTGTAAAGCAGCAGTCCTTACATAGGAACTTTAGAGACACATCTGACCAGGCCGATAACATTGAATCATTGTGCAATCAACACATTCTTCATCACATTGAACACAAGAATATAAAGCCATTTTAAAAATGGAAGACAGCACATATGTCTTCACATGTTTTTATACCAAATTTTAGTGACTTGTAAAAACATTAATATTTGCCAATGAAAATCTTTAATTTCTTTTTGAGAAAATACACACATACGAATCATCCATTCAGCTGCTTTGTTTTTATTATAAAACAATCAAGTATAATTAATTTTTTGATTAAATTTAAATTAAATATGTGAAAATTCTTAATTACGTTTCATTCAATATTGAGTAAATCGTTAAGAAAACTAATTGGTGATTGGAGTAATTGCATGGCTTTGATGTACTTGCTAACTTTTCGAAACCTTACTGAAAAACAATTATTGGACAATACTCTGTATATACAGTACATTATTTAATATTTTATTTTCATAGCTTTTCCCTTTGTATGCATATGCAATCATTCTTTTATTCTTTCCATTGTGTTTTCCTTGGTCGCCATGTTGGATGTACACACTAATATTTAATGCGATCTTTATGAACTTACCTGCTTTCTATAAATCATTTTTAAGTTATAAAATACACTTATAATACAATATTATTTAATAATCAATGTTTAAATGTCACCAATATGTGCTAATATTAAAATTTAAAGTGTTATTCGGTGTTTACAAGTGTTATTTGGCTAATAACGGTGTTATTCGGTGATTCGAGGTACCGGATATTAGAAGTCATTATGATTGCCACAATTTTTAATGTGTATTGATGTGACATGTTTGTACATATTTATCGAATAAAATCGGCAGCTCAGAAAATACACAAGCAGCAAGCTAGTCGACAAACATACGTTTGTGTTTTAGTTGTCTATTGGTAGAAGTGGTGCTATGTTAAGAACATAAGGTATAGAGAAGACCTTTATGATCCTTAGTACAGAGAGCATGTCTAATGATCTTATAACTTATCATTTGCAGTTCCTTGTGAACAATGCTAATAAAACAACAGAAGAATACAAACACATTGTTAATTTTAGGCTTAGCTTTGGAAAATGAAAGTTAACAAATCACCTTTGTTCATCAGATTTATCGTTAATTGAACTCTCTAAAGGGGATACTTTAGTTGCTGTATCCTGGTCAAACACATTAAAAAGGTCTTCTGCGAAGTCTTCTGCCATGATTTTCTTCTATTTTAGTTTTTTTCACAGTTTAGTTTACTAACACATGTGTATTTTTTTCGGAAGGCCTCGGTTAAGCTGCTTCCGAATGTTAACTGGCAGACTGGTACGTAAAATAAATTCTACTGATATACGTTAAGAAAATATCTTAAGGATCAGTTCATACAGGAATATCGACTGCTGCAGGAAAAATGGAATTTTTGACGCGTGTCATATTATTTATCTCATGTATCACTGCGTCTATAGCAAATGATCTAGCCAGGGGTAAATATTTTAAGTCTTTTAAAACATATTTTACACAATTTTCTTATTTTACATCATTTATTTCTTTAGATTGTAAAGAAATATTTGATGACAGAGAGTCAGACAATGTCAGATATCAATATAAAAAAGGAGATGTGGTACTATGATTGCTGAATTATGAGTCAACTATCAACCAAATATCAAATGAAGTTTTGTCTAACACACATTTACTTCTTCTTCTACCAGATAATGACCACAATCAACAAACTGGTTATCCTGCCATGACTTTGTTAATCACCCCTCCTCCATGGTATCGGGTCCGTTCGCCCTGATTACATGTTCGCCCTGAGTTCGTTTGCCCATAGAGTCCATTTGCCCTGGTTTAGTTCTCTCACTTTTATTTAAAAATATGTGTATTAAGGGTATTAAAGTTTAATAAAACTTATACGGTGCAGTCCGGTGTATCCGCGCTCCCAAGACTAATGACTTCACTTTCATTCAACTGATAAAATCAATAATTGAATAATAGTGTGTGATCACATTCAAAGCATACTTTTATTTCATAAAATCTTCTGTTTGTATGGTTTCACCCTCAAGATTTTGTGTAAGGTGTGTCCAAAATTAGGGAAACCCCCTGTTCTGAGGGTTCCTCCGATGTCCGGTGATTTCGTGCATGCTTTCCAAATATAGCTTATTTTGAATACAGGAAAGATTTGACACTACGAAATATAGCTGAATTTGAACCAAACACAATGCCAAGGATGCACAGCAAAAATGATTTCCGTTCGATATAAATTTTTCTGAAATAAAATAAATTTTATCTGATGATGAAATTTTTAATGGAAATTGGCCAAATATTGTAAATCACGGGATTGCAGTTATTAATTAACTCTTGAACTTATCAGTTTTATTCTTTTTTATCCCTTCGGAAGGTTAAAACAATAACTAGAACGATTTTACTTGTGTTACTGTGTTGATATTAGGAAATCAGCTAATGCGCGATATCACCGTCTGCTCTGACACCAGGGACTCCACTGTACAGATATTTATATGGTATAAATTCTTGAAATTCATGAAAACACATGGAAATATTTAAAATTGATGGCTTGTTTTGGAGCATTAATTGTTCATAATAATAATTCTCACTGATTGTTGTAATAATTGTCTTTGATGGAATAATAATTAAAAACAACATTTTGTTTTGATAAACTAGCTATATATATAGTCAGCTTGTAATGAGTAAAAACAATGATGTACGAATTGTAAAACATGTAATGGATTTATAAGTTCATTTATTATTGTACTGGATAATTATTAAAATTGTTAACAAATATCAATAAAGATAAATACATAGTATTCCAGTATTCTACTATGCAAATCAAAGGAAAATAATTATTTGGTTGCAGCAATACAAATATTCGGCGAATTTTTCAAAAAACTTTAACATACTCTGTTGAAATAATAAACATTATGCAACTACATGAACTAGGCAACATTAAAAATCAGGGCGAATGGACCCTGGGCAAACAGGTATGAGGGCGAACATGAATCAGGGCGAACGGACCCAGATTCCTCCTCCACCATGCTTAATTTTTGAATTTAGTTTGAAGCTTTGTCACCAAGGCTTTGAAAGCCTGGATTGACGAAGCTGATACAACCAGAGGAGGCAGAGCTTTCCAATCTCTGATGGTTTGTGGGAAGAAATTATATATTTCCGGATGCTTGAATTTGGAAGCTTCTGCCATGCATGTTTCTTGACAGTCGTTTTGGTTGCATCAGACAACCTTCCTTTGATATTGGAACTTTATTATTTTGTATTATATTGAGCATGGTAAGTCTTGCATCTTTTCGTCTTTGTTCCAAAGATCTCCATTCTACAAATGTAAATGATTGAGCATCGTGCTTACACTTAAGAGATCATATATATATAGAGTGCTGTTGTCTCTGGACCGTCCTTAGTGAGTTATGTAAAGGGACATGTCATGTGTATATATTGTGTCAAACCTACATGGAATTTTATGAAATTTGGACAGCAGCTTGTTTATTACCAAAATACAGTATCCAGAGCAAAATTTTGAAAATATTTATTTTCATTTTTCCATATTTTACTGATAATTGGACTTAGTTTTTTTACACTTAACATTCAGATTCATTCTGAGATTAAAGTTTTTCAGTCATCAATAATTTTGTCAAACCTTCATCAGTCAGGGGTGCTACTTAAACAAGTGATTTCATCATCACTTATTTCAGTGATTTGATAAATTCAGTTATCACCTATATAAGTGATTTTAGTGTTTTCTTTGATCTTCAAATGCTAATTTCATTGATTTTCCATATTTTCACAATCTTTTCTATAATTTTCCTACATAAATCAATTATCCCTTTTTCTTTGTATATTAATTTCACCAGTGCGCTTGGGCAGTAAGTTAGTGCACTTGGGCAGTAAGTTAGTTCGCTAAAGCTTTTAAAAGTACCCTTGGGAATTTTTCTGTAATCAAAAATTCATTAACTACTCTTACTATCAGACAAAGATCAACAATATTAGGTAACCTGATTGGTTTTCTTTAGAGTTAGAATGATCTACTTCAAGGTTATGACCTGATCTACAAACTATTCCAGTTTTTGCATATTTTAAAAAAACTGTAAAAGTGTCAGGCTTATCAAGCAAAAGACAATTTCTGCATATACATAGTTGTTTTTTCAATGGAATTGTTGTCTTTTTACCAATAAAAAAATCAAGCTTGTGGGAAAAATATCAAGAAAATGTTATAAACACTTATTAAAGTGATTACATTTTAACTTCTAAAATTACTTGTTTCAGTGATTTTAAAAAGTCTGTGTGAAAATTTTTAATATTTCACAGCCAAAATCACTCGAGGGAGTGATTCTGAAATCACTTGTTTAAGTAGTACCCCTGACTGTTCATGGAATTATATGAAATTTGGACAGAAGTTTGTTAATGACCAAAATACAGTATCCAAAGCAAAATTTTAAAAATAATTATTTTCATTTTTCCGTATTTAACTGATAAATGAACTTAGCTTTTTTTACAATTAACAAGTAGATACAGTCTGGGGTTAAGGTTTGTTACGTATACACATCAAATACTTTGTGACATCAAACCTTCATAGAATTTTATGAAACTTTTTTATAATCAAGAGATAATGTCTGAAGCAAACTTTTTGAAAATATATTTTCATTTTCAGTATTTTTCAGATAGATCACACTGACAGCAGCAATCGTAGGCGAGACACAGGGTTCCGGGGAACTCCTTACAAATTTTTTATATACATGTTTATGAGCCTTTTATTTTCAATTCCTAGCTGAAACACTGTTAAGTATACATTATGTACAAATTATGTCACAAGTCCATAATTCTCTACTAATACATTTTATTTATACATTTGCACTGTAATTATTATGCTAAATTTAGATTTTCATTTTCAGTTAGAAATGACACAAATAGAGGTGCTAATAACCTGCACTAGCTTATAGGAATATACATTTTTAGAACTGACAATATGTTTTTTATTTAACAGGCTGGAATGATGATGTTGCATGGGTTACCCTTGATGATGGAATTAAGGCAGCCAAGGAACAGTAAGTGTTACTAAAGTCTCTACAGCTTTATGTGGGGGATCAAATGATTAAACTTTAAACTCAAGAGATATTTTTGTTTTCCAAATTTTGGTTTATATATGTTCGTCGCATTCTTCTGTATTACACTCCATCAAATATTCTTTTAGTCATCAAGTAACTTTATATTTGATCCAAAGTCTGAAAACTATACTGAATATATACTAAAGACTTTTCTATTATCAACACATATTCTTACCTTCATTGTACAATGTAAATGGGAAAGTCATGAATTCTGCACTCTTCATTTTTTGGACTAGAATGTATAAGCTTTAAAACCAGGTTTAATCCACCATTTTCTACATAAGAAAATGCCTGTACCAAGTCAGGAATATGACAGTTGTTATCCATTCGTTTGATGTGTTTGAGCTTTTGATTTTGCCATTTGATTAGGGACTTTCCTTTTTGAATTTTCCTGGGAGTTCAGTATTTTTGTGATTTTACTTTTCACTGTTTTATCAAAGGCTAAGTAAAACAAAAATCTGTTGATCCTTTTACACAAATTATAAATGAAAAAGGCCTATTTTCCAAACAAGTTAAAGTTTAAATGAAGTTAAAAAAATCTCAGTTTCCAGACTTAAAGGAACACTCCTCCAGCTTTTAACAGTTATAAAAGTCTTGATAGTTCAGTGAATTAACATTGCAAGGGATTGGTCTAACAGATTTTTGGTAATATATTGAAAGTAGCACCATTATTTTTTAGGAACAAACCAATGATGCTTGTTATACATAAGACATGGTGTGGAGCATGTAAAGGTAAGATAATGTCATACTTGTGTTTTCCAATGATAAGGTACAGTCAATATTGTAATGCATCTATTTTCCCATGTACAGTCATGGCAGTTTAAAGTATTTTTTTATCAGTTGAGCAAACTGTTATCAGCAAAATTATATTTCTGAAGTATATAAAAAAAAACATTTTAGCACCTTTTTTTTCTGGCCACAACCATGCATGTCATAGAGGAATCAACAATGGTTAAAGTTTGTGCTTACATGTAGGGCAGTTCAAGAAAAACCACTAAAAGGCTGATCAATGATATTTTGTATGCACTTGTATAAAAATAGGCTTATCTCATTTCCAGAAATTATTTGGTCTGAATGCCAGGGAGTAAACTGCCTGCAGTCATGGTTCAATTTCCAAAACTTTTTTGTAGTTTACATATTCAGCTTTTTATTAGGTCACTTTAAGAGAAACCAAGTTCTAGGTTGTAAGAGGTAGTATCAACATTGGCATATCACATTTTTGTGGAGATTATTTTACTTGACTCCTCAGTCATGATTCCAATATTTGCATTATACTACTGATCATACAAACAGACTAGACATGTCTTTGTGCCAGCAGTTTATTTTTTATCACAAGTTTTGTTTTTGCACACATTTTAAGTGACATGTGGAACTACAAAAAGACATTAAACAAATAATAGTATTACTACTTTACACTAAATAACCACACAGCTGTTTCTTTAGATTATTAATATTGATTGTTAATGTAGAAAAATTATATTATAAATAATTCTTTGATAGTAATATAGTATATTAATGTCACATATATGCATTAGAAGGTTTATTATGGTTAATTCCTTTAAACCATTAGTCATAAAAACAGTAGGGATAAAATGATGTGATATTAAATCCTATTATCTAGTTAATCTTATTACTATTCAGAACAAGTCTTCAAGTAAAAAAAACAGTACATGTGATTTATTCATTTTTAGCTCACCTGACCCAAAGGGCCATTGTGTGCTTTTGCCATCACTTCGTTCTGTCGTCATCCATTAACTTTAACAAAAATCTTCTCCGAAACCACAGGGACAAATTGAACCAAATTTGACAACAGTCATTCTTTTAAAATAGATAGAGATCATCTGACAGACCAATAATATTTGGAATGTCAAGATCTCCATTTTGATTATTTTGACCAAATTGACAGACAACTCATCTCAGATTTTTCCCATTTTTTTGGTTTCTATATCTACTATAATTTTTCCAAAAAATGCAAAATTATTTAAGTACTAGTAGAAGCAACACTATAATGGATAATCTGATTTTTTCGTCACCTGCATAGTAGAGTTACACTGACTTAGATACATGTAGGATAACTATCTGTTGTGTTGTAACAACATCTTTGGTATTCCTCCATAATCTTTATAATTCTGTTAAATGAAACTTCACTGTAACTACTCTGCAAAAAACAACCAAACTTTTGAATATTCTTCAACAGGGAGTGCAGGAACAGATGAAAACCTCCCTGGATCCACAAGTGGAGTGTAATATTATTAGGTCACCTAATGAAATGTAATTTTATATTCACTTAAAAAACTTTGGTCAACTAAAATTATTCATACATGTACCATTGATAGTATTTACAGTAATTTAGGAGAATGTGTAAAATAGACGGTCATGCTACCTTATACCCTGGTATTTTTTGAGGTCAGTTATGTGGATTCTTTAATCTATATTGCATGAATGAGTATTAGATAAATATAAAAGAAGTAGACAACTGTTATAACATACAGGAACTTTAACTTTCGCAAGTAAAAATTTCTCCATGCCTTCCACTTTTTCATAAATGTGTTTTTGTTTCAGCATTAAAACCACAGTTTGATAGTTCTAAAGAGATTGCAGAATTGAGTAAACCTTTTGTCATGGTTAATGTATTGGTGAGTACTGGGTTGAAAGCAAATCATTATGTAGAACTTTGTAGTTATATTGTTTGAATCTGACTGCTTTCTATCTTGTAAGGAAACAATATCCATATATGCTTTGAACTGGATGGTGCATTTTCTGTAAGTATGAAAAAAACTTTCATAAGGTTTCCAAAATCTACCTTATTAATTCTACTTTAAAGGATCCATAAAAGATAAATATTTCATTGTTAGAAAAAAAATCTACTTTTACTGATACTGGGGTTCTTTCAGCAGACTGTAATGTAGATCTTGACATCCATATTTTCACCCACAATTGTTTGATATATATATAAAAGATCAGAGTTCCAATGTCCCGAGCATTGCACATATTTTATCTGTCTAAGGGCAATAACACAAAAAAAACCTTTAAAATGCTTATAAATATCTTAGAAATTATTTGTGCTACTGAACTTATAAACTAAAATAAAAAATACAGTGAAAGATAAAGTGCATTTTATTTCAACAGGTAAATAGACGTAAACAAATACTCAAGACAAAAATAAAAATAAAAAAACTAAACTTTTAGAGATATTTAACATAGATTTCTAGTCTATAAAAAAACAGAATAAAAAAAACAAACCCTGAAATTTGTTGGTCGGCACTGATTTTAGAAATTGTCCAAGATATTGCTTATATAAACCTATGATATAAATTTTATAAAATGTCAATGTATTTATAGGATGATGAAGAACCTGAGGGAGAGAAATATTCCCCTGATGGTGGATATATACCTAGAGTTCTCTTCTATGGTATAGTAATTTTAAAAAATAATATCTTTACAGTACAAATGATTTTAAAATAGTGGTGTCTATCATGATAGTGTGTTATTATTGAAAGAAAATCATCAGTTTAATGATTTTATTGACATTCAAAGAAAATGTCTTTGAATGTAAAGTTAGATCAGATACATTTTACTTTGTCATATTCAAACGTATTAATAAAACGAAAACAATGAATTAATCAAAATTTTCTTATTGAGTCATAAGATGTCTTTCTACACACACCCTATTTATTGAATGCTGAATATTCTATTCACAGACTTGATAATTTTGATTTCAGATCCAGATGGAAATATTTTAGACCAGTATAAAAATGAAAAAGGTCATCCAGATTACAAGTATTATCATTTTAGTCCCACATCTAGTAAGTGAATTTTCTTATGTTCTATAGAATCAATATATTTTATAAATGTTTGACAGTATCTTTCTTTTATTGTTGGGATATAATTATAGTATGGTGTTTTTAGATAAACCAATCACAATCAAATCAATATTTGTAAAAACTTCTAAAGAATTGAAAAATCAATTTATTACATTGCAGTGATATTCTGATTTCCAAGTCAAATAAAAACCAATAATTTCACATGTGAAAGAAATCTCCAACATCATACAACAATAGGTGTTGTCAATGTTATTGCATCAAAACAAAGTGAGAAAAAATATTGTTCCTTGTTTTTGTCTCACCTTGACGGAGTCGAGACATAGGTATGCTGTTTCCGGCGGCGGCGTCATCAACAATGTTTTAGTTTGTGATTAGGTCTAGTTCATGGTCAGTGTTCCCGCCTGCCCTAAATAGAAGGGCGGCCCGCCCTTGGTGCCCTTACCCCCGCCCTTCTGCCCTCCAAAGTAAAAGAATGCACCCCTCTGCCTTTTCAAGAAAAATAAAATTTCCAAATTTCATGCCTACCGGCGTTTCCGGTAAAATTGTTACCTGATTGTGTAACACTAATTAACTGACAATGGGATTAAGTTAAATACCTAGTGCTTTGACAGTTTTATCACCTTTGTTAATGATTGTTTACTGCTAATTAGTGGATTTAAGATAATTGAACAAATACTAGATATTTAATACAGAATGAAATGTTCACATGTTATCCATTTGTAATGTTTATGTACAGCATGTACACCTGAAAAAATTTATTTAGTAGGCATAACATAAAAAATAAAATCTTAAACAATTTTAAAGGCATACATAGTTTTGACTTAATTGGTAAAAAATGTTTTGTTTCATAACAATGAGTATGAAATTTAAAGAGGAATCAAAGAAATTTGTACTTTGAACATAACAAGATTCACTTCCTGTTTTTAATACTTCTTGTATTTTATAATCCTCCTGACATAGGAGCACTCAACAAATTTATTTTTAACAATGATGGAGAAAAAAGTAACTGTTTATACCTTCTGCAATATATTATTGCATCAATATAAAATATGATCATCTCCTGTCTCACCTGTTATATTTATAAAACTCCTTACAGAGGAGCACTTTGGTGTGCAATTAAAAATACTTTTTTGTAACAATTCAAAAGATAATAAATAACTCTCAACAACATATATACTATATATTTGAACAAGTAATTAAGTAGATAATTTAATTACATTCAACATTCAATTTTGCATGTATAACTCCATCTTTCAAAACTACTTGTTTATTTTGGTATAAGTTATAAAACATTGAAATTTCTGATGATTATTTTCCATACCAAATGTACAAGTTTGTGTAGATTAACATCAAAATGATATGCTTTGCTACATGGTATGATAATTTGATGAAAAAAATTCTTACTGGAACCAACATCAAGAACACATTAATTTCTGAATATGGTTTAAATACAACTAATGTTCTCCAGCTGAGCCTAGCAATATTCAAGGTAATTTATACACTGTCCAACATTGCCCTTAAAATCTGGGTTATAACGCTAAAGTGCCCTTTCAGACAACTAGCACCCTTCTGCCCTGAGATTCAAGCTGGAACACTGATGGTGAACCACTAGTGGTAGGTCAATGATATTTGGTATGCAGTTGTATAAGCATTGACACATCTCATTACCATGGAGATTATTTGGCCCCGCCCCCTCAGTCAAGGTCTATTGACTTTGAAACTTTTCATAGTTAACATGTATTAGTTTGTGATTAGGTCAATTTATGGGGAACCACTAGTGGTAGGTCAATGATATTTGGTATGCAGTTGTATAAGCATGGGCATATCTCATTTCCATGGAGATTATTTGGCTCAGCCCCCTTAGTCATGGTCTATAGACTTTGAAAATTTTGCTAAGTTAACATGTATTAGTTTGTGATTAGGTCAGTTCAAGGGGAACCATTAGTGGTAGGCCAATGTTAATTGGTGTTCAGTTGTATAAGCATAAGAACATCTCATTTCCATGGAGAATATTTGGTCCCGCCCACTCAGTCATGGTCTATTTACTTTGAAACTTTTGCTTAGTTTACATGTATTAGTTTGTGATTAGATCAGTTTAAGATGAACTGCTAATGTTAAGTCATTGATATTTGGTATGCAAATTTATTGGCATTTGCAAGTATCGTTTCCATGGAGATTATATAGCCCCACCCCTGATCATGGTTCATTGACTTTGAAACTTTTACATAGTTTACAAGTTAATGTTTGTGTTTAGGTTTGTTTAAAGGGAACAACTTATAATAAGTCAATGGTATTTGGTATGCAGTTGTATTAGCATTGGCACATCTCATTCCATGGAGATTGTTTAGCCATATACCTTCAGTTATAGTTCATCGACTTTGAATATTTGCATTACTTGCATGTTAAAGTATTGCAATTTTAATTTCAACATTTACATTATCAAAATTACAAAAAGGCGAGATAACAGTTTATTTCTACTTTATTTACATTTTAATTCAATATAATAAAAGAATAAATAATCTAAGAATGCAAATATCGAAAATCTTACATTGTTACGAAACAACAATGATAATTTGTTCTGACACACATCACACAAATATGTGAATTGATGTGCTGTTCAGTCTCTCAATGAATATTTTTTTTAGATTTGAATTCTTGGATAAGTTATTCTGTAAGGATTTAGATTCAAAATAAAAGAAAAGTAGTACTTAATGTAAAGGTGTTTTACATTATATATTTCCAGTTGCTGAAACAATGAAAAAAGTTATTACGGAAAGGAACCTAGAGAAACCAACAGGAAACGACGAGTTGTGATTATCTCCCTTGTATTGTAACCCTATGCATGAGCTGACAAGTGATGTGAAGTGCAAAACGTAGACTTTTTTTTTTTAAATATGAATAAATATAAATTACCACAATATTGTCAACAGTTTACTGTCTGTTTGCATTGAGATTCCAAGTTGATTGCTAATCACCCTTTTTACCTTGTTATATCTTATGAAGGTGTGATGTGTTGAAATTGTACGGTAGAACCTACTGAAAATGGGCATTTCATTTCTTTCTTTTCATGTTCTATATTTTTTTTTCATATGATCAGTGCATTTCATTGGTACATAGATAATATTAAGATTCCAGTTCCAAGCATTGATGAAATGGACTTTACAAACTACAAACACAATACTGTTTTAAAGAGTTATACCCCTTAAGTATAGGAATCATTTCTGTATATTGTATATTGTAAACTTTCTATTTTTTGAAGAAAACAAAATGTTCAATTAAAAGAATTTTGATCTGAATATTACAGACTCTTTCTATTAAAATTAAAATGGAAATACCTCAAACTTTCAAGTATTCATCTAAGAAGGTTGTCTGTATATCAAGACATATATCTGTGTTTTACGTCCATACATTACCATTTATTCTCAACATTTGTAATGTTCCTACTTATCATGTTTTTGCTGTATAAATATAATTTTTTTTACAGTTCTTTGCTTGCTTTATTTTCTTTCATTTCTTTGATATTGGCCTATTTTGTGAATGAAAATGTGATGTTTGCAAATTTAGAAATGATATAAGACAATTAATGAACAGTATGCCATGAAACAATCTATAGAATTAATGATGTTTTGATACTACAGTAATTTATAAATGATGTTTTTATATGTTAGGTAGTTTAGAATGAATGCTTGAAAACCATGATTTATTTATTGCCATAAAATTATCACATATTTAAGAATTCTTATTTTCATAGAATGTAACATTTTGTTTGATCTTCAAATTTACATTATTAAATATAACAAAAATAGTTCAATACCCAGTAAATAATCAATAGTTAGATGATAAGAATCAACATGGTTACAGAAAGTTTAGATAGATTGTAACTAGAAATCAGGACATCTACTTCACAAAATCAAAACTACATGTGCATTCTATAAAAAGTGATGTGTAAAAGCAATTTTAGTTGGTTGTTTAAAAGTTTACATTTAGTAAAAAATATTAATTGTACACAAAGTATTTTAAACTCAGAAAATTACAAATAATTTGATGACAATTTAAAAAAATATATATATATATAATTTACAAAATGTTGAGTTTTGACTACACATCCAGACTTTTGGGGGATGGCCCTGGAATGAAAAAATGATAAATGATTAAATAGGTAGTAAATTAAATTGCATTTAATATTTATAATTGCAGTTTCAGTGATATTTTAGTGCAACAATTTCTCAGGGGAATTTAAAATATAAAGTCCACCCAGTAGTCATAGAAATTTTGTATACACATAAAAAATAATCTGTTTATTTGAAATGTTCATAAAAAAGTTCAATATATAATAGCTATAATAAGTTCATCAAACACTGATAAAAATTTTTTAATGATTGATATTGACAGATTTGATTATGTATTATATTGATGTTGTTCGTTATGCAAATCATGTGTTTTGAAAAATCAAGTGTCATACAATTTATTTGTAATATTTATATTTTATAATGAAATTACCTGATAGTTATGTATTATTATAGGAACAGTTCTAAACAAAGGAAATCTTTTTACTTGGGTTTATTGCTAGTAATTTGTACTGAATATGTAGTACCTGTTCATGTTCAAACAATATAGTGCTACAGTAAACCCAGTCTCCTCAGTGTAGAGGCAGTGTCCTCAGTGTAGAGGATGTTAGATTGTTTGATTATTGGTGTTTAACACCATTTTCAGCACTCTTAGCTACATCATGGCCGAGTTTTTATTGATAGAAGTTGGAGAAATCACCAACCAGAATAATTGGTAATCCTAGTTGAGGAAATTAGATGTATCCTATTTCTTTAAATAAAATGGAAGATTCTGTCGGGATATCACTTTATGAAGAAAATTATTACCAAAAATAAAACATTGGTACCTACAGAACACATATAAACAATCACTATGTATACTGTTAATATATACAAATACTTGTTATATTGATTTCTAGTTCGAAAAGAGATTAAACCAAAGCATTTAGAGTAAATCTGAAATAGGGTAAAACTGATTTTCAGGTCAGATTTAGATTGATCTGCCCTGAAATTTTCAGACGAATCTGACAACCCGTTGTTGGGTTGCTGCCCCTGAGTTAGTAATTTTACAAAAATTTTGCAGTTTTTTGTTATTATCTTAGATATCATTATAATATCTAATAACTTATACTATTAATTATGATCTAACCTTATTTTACATGATTTCCAAAGCATCAGTAAATACAGGTGATCGACACAGGCTCTTGAGAGCCTCTAGTTAACTCTTCAAACTAAAAATTTGAGAATTTTACATTTAACTTGATTTGCATATCCAAAATGATACATGACACCCATGTGCTTAACACATGTTTCTGGATGTAAAGATTTGAGAGCATGAATTCCAAAAAGCCTACACAAAATGCCAACACTGCCTAAGGTCATTTTTGTCAGAGGAAATACAACCTTATTTGTATACCCATAATGTAGTATGTGAATTGGAAATTCATTATATGATTTAAGTCGTGCCATTACCAATACCCTGGTTTAAGATGATTTAACCATCCAGATTACAAAAGGGCAAACCATTTATCAAAAAAAAAATCAACCATTGTAAATTCACAAGAAAAAGTTTGTAGTTATTTATAAGCAGGAGCATTGTAACAAATTAATATTTTCCTTTGAGGGAAAATATTTCACTCAATTGCCTTTTCCATGTATTTTCATGTCCTAGTTAAACGTTTAAGTTATGTTTTTATGGTATGCTGGTGTACTTGTTATTTTTTTATGCCTTACAATAAAAATATTATCTTTTGATTTTGTTTTAGTTTTACATGTAATATTGAGAGAAAAAATAAATGTATATAAATTTTGTTTTTTGTTATAAATAGATGTTGATTGATACCATCCTCTGCTGAAGGTTTATGACTTATATTATTATATTATTAGTTTTATGACTCATATATAAATGACGTCTTTCCACTATATCCATTGGATGTCGGATGTGTACTGATTGATATTTTAGTCGTAGTAGATACATGATTTTTTTATTACTTGTTATTTGCTTTGAACTAGCTTTCAGTAACTGTAAGTACTCTCGTATCTGTACTTTGTGTCTTTTGTGTTTTTGTTAGTCTTCTTTTGTGTGTGTGCTTTGTATCTATGTGATGAGTTTTGCCCTTTTCCTTCTAAGTTATGTTGTACTGTTTCTGTATTTATAGTACTTGACATGATTAGTGTCCTTTACTTCGTTCATTTGCTTATTAAAAGTAAAGCGTTTTAGCAACAACAAAAAACTTTTTCAGTTTCCTTTGTTACATACAAAAAGTTTCATCCAGACGATTGATTTTACAAATGAATGTTATATTCCTCAGATTAACCCTAGGCTTAACTAGAGTATAGCGATATGGCCACACAAGAACTTCTTTCATCGAACGATAAATCTCATTCGAAAAGGTAGCTTTTTATCTATACAGGATGTATGAATACACAGCCACTTCTGGTTTGAATGGGAATGTAAAATTCAATGCAAAATGTTAGGAAAATGCTTCATTCTTTGCATGTTTAAGAAATCTTACAATGCTCGAGTCTTTGAGGGATCCGTGTATATAGTTGTTATGTTGCAAGCCAACATTTCTACCTTTATCCAACAAATCTCATTTTCAAGTTGCAGTCGGAACATGCATTTACCACTACACATTAAATAATCTATCAATAAAGATTTTCTAAAAGCTTGTGGCACATTCTTTTATTTTGCTAATACCAGTGCACATAACGGTTCTTTTGTCAGCTAATTGTGCAATGTATCCCATAAGAGTTATGCATTTTTCACCATTTTTCACATGGAGTCAACTTTTTTAATGTCGCCGCTACCTAAATTGTCAATTTCGTCATTGTTTTGATCAATTTTTTTTTGTATAAGGGCAACTAAGAAATATCATTTTCAAAAGAGTGTTTTCGACATTGACTATCCTTATAAACAACTATGTATGAGAAGTTGTATCCTAAAGTGTTAATTCAATGAATGGATCATGCCTCATTCCTGTAGTTTTCCTTCCATATACAGTCATTGAGAAATCATTGATTTCTCTGTTTGTCTGGCATCAAAACGTCATGATGCTTCCGATTGTGGTTATGCTTACTGAAGGTTTTCCAAGTTTTCTCAAAACACTATACCAAGTAACTTTACATTTGTTCCCCTAATTATCTTTTACTCATAAATTAAGGCTGAAGTTTATTGTGTTCTAACTTTAATCTATTTATAAACTTTACATTTTATAGAACCTTCTATGAAATGTTCTAACAAACACTCATTGAAAAAAGACTTGCTTTAACATAAAATCTTTGATAAATTAAAGATATACAAGTTCTGATATATACATTTTGTACAGTATAATGTTCATATTTCATAAAGAAAAAGATGCTACCACTAATCTCTTAGAGAGAGAATGAGAGATTTTTAACATTTTTTTTTTTGTGAATATTAGAAGTAACTGATAAATAGAAAGTTTCAACAAGGTTGTAACAATGTTGTACCATTGTTACAGCTTTCTAGCCAGCTGAAGATTTTTTTTTAGATGCAGGTCTATCATAAACCCACTGTCTGTTTTCAAATCTATTGTTATCAGTTTGCGTGTGTCTTCATTTGAAAAAGACCTTATCCACAATCCTAAATATTAGAACATACCCGTAGAAGTTGGAAATGAAGGACTAAACACACGAATCCAAACTTTTTATTTATTGAAAAAGGAGGGAGATCAAGGTTGAAAATACAGTATTTCAGGTATTGCTACATAAAGACATTGTGACGTTACACTTGTATACTTTGGAATTGTAGATCGAATACAATTTAAATGTAGAACCACTTTTTAATTTCTTCATGTATTCTCCATATTTTGGTGCCGTGACCAGGATCCAAATAAGTTGAAATAAAT